AATACTCACACACACGCGCGCAGACATGGATGATAAATGATTCTGGCACAAATATGGCATACATAAATTTACTTTCATCGACACTTTTTCATTTCTTCATTTGTAGATGGTGGTTAATCGTAACTAAAATTCAACAATTTTAATAATCTCGTTGATCGTCCAAAACAGTATTATCAACTTCGATGTTTATTATTATTGTTGTTGTTGTTGTTTTTACTTTTAGGTGAAAAAACATTGTCTTTAAATAATTGTGTCTCTACATGATGTGGTTTTTTTTAGATTTCTTCATTTTATGACAATGTTTTTCATTTGCCAATTTTTTTTTGTTGTTCTGGAACCATCATCATCATTAATGTCGATGATGATGATGATGATGTCATGAGAACATCAAAAACATCCCAAGTATGTAAATGAAACAAGTGAATGAATTAAAATGAAAAATCCAAAATAGTCCATTGTATCTCTCTGTGTATCTGTGTGTGTAGCGCCCATCTTGACCATTTTTTTTGTTGTTGTTGTTTGATTTTTTTTTCGGTTTCAATTGGAACTTGAAATTTCCATTTAAATACTATTGTGTTGAATACTGTATTCACATGTTTATCCGTGGTGAGGTTCTTTTTGTACGAATTTTTTTTTCTTGGGCGAAACTTTGATTGATTTCCATTGTGGATATTTGTGATATTCATCCGATTCACATCAAAAAAAAAAAAAACGACACACGCACACGCACACACGCACATTTTTCTTTTGTCCACAATTTTGTCTATAGCTCTATTTTAGGTGGATTGATTGATGAACGCAAACAAAAACACCACACACACATGCACATCGATGACAATCTCTATTGATCGATCCATCAATCTTGGATCAATCAAGAATGATCTATTGTGTGTGTGTGTGCGTGTGTCTGCCCAAAAAAAAAATCTTGTGCAATATTTTTCATCATCATCATCATCATCATATGACCACCAACAACAACAACAACAAACAAAATTGTCAATCATATATCAATTAAAATATATTCCGAATAGACAAAAATCATTTGAATTAGACCGAAAAATCTGAAAAAAATTGATTGCACGTTTATTCACACGTACATTAGTTGACCTCAACGATGACACCTGAACGAATTTAAATTTTTTTCTTTTCTTAAAAAAAAAAAAAAAATACAAATTAAACGTGCAACCAAACGTGTGATTAATTATTTCGTCGTTTGTTCAACAACAACAACAACAACAAAAAAAACGTGAGAAAACATGAAATGACCAACAATAATGATAAAGACCCGAGAGAAAAAAAAACACACTAAATGTGACGATGACGATGAAGATTTAATAAAGATCAAAATCAATTAAGAAATCTGACACAAACACAGCAGCAGCAGCAGCAGCAGCAGCATGTTTCAACGAACGAGCAAAAAAACATGCACATTTCAAAGTCAAAAAAAAAAAATTTTTTTGATTCAAAAGAAAAAAATTTCGGCAGATTAAAAATAGACAAACTAATGATTTTATATATTTTGAATGATGATGATGATGATTTACAAGCAAGCAATTAACACAGTGGGAGAAGTGAGAGAGAGAGAGAGAAAATTTTTGCATTTAATCATAATTCTGAAAAACATAATTATCAGCTGATTTTGATTTTGATTTTGTTTTGTTTTTGGCATTGCATTTTAAATTACATTATTATTATTATATTATTATACTGTGTAAAATAATCTAAATCTTTTTTTTTATTTTGTCATTTCATTGTTGTTGTTGTTGTTTTCTTCTGTTGGCCTTCTATTTTTTTGATTGGATTCATTGCCCTTTTTTTTATTTCGTTCTCTCTAAATATTCGATGATCTACTACTATTTGAACAACAAAACATTTTGGAACATATTTGTTTTTTTTTTTTTCGTTCATTTGGTCTGTACTGTTTTTTTTTTTTTTGTTTTATTGATGGAAGGAGATTTTTTTTTGCCATTTTCGAGGTCTCGCCTTGATCGATGATGTGTCAAACTGAATTGTTGCTGTTGTTGTTGTTGTTGTTGTTGGTACAAAGGCCAAAAAAAACGAAAACATTTTACATCAATCAATGAAAATGTGGATCAAACAAATGATTTAACAGCTCATTGGTGGTGTGTTTCTACAGCTGTTTTTGTTGTTTTTGGATTAGATTAATTTTTTTTATACGAAATTTACATTAAATACACACACACACACAACGAGTCAACAGGTTATAGATTAAATAAACAAATTTTTTTTTTCATTTCGTTACTGGATCAATCTTTTTTTTCTGAAATGGAAAATGATATTTTCGTCAATCAATATCGATTTTCGATCAATTTTTCTGTATTGATCAGATGCCATCATCGACATTCATTGTTTTCAAACAACGACGAACGGCGACGACGACGAGATTTGATTGACTGGATTGATCGGTTGTTACAGACAGGTCAGAAAAGTATGAAAAATCAAAGAAAATTTGATTATAAGATTAGAGTGAAACAAGAAAGCAAAAAAAAAAATTTGAGATGATTAGATTTGGATTGGATTTGAACCGATCAAAATCATCAAACATTCAAACATCAAACATCCAACACACACACACACATACACACGCATTGGATTCATTCGAATCAAAAGTGATGGGCCAATTTTCTTCCTGATTTTTTTTTCTTATCCGTTATTATTAAGATCTATTATTTGGAATTTTTGTTTCAAATTTTGTTTTTTTTCCTTGTTTATATCAATTCCTGAATGAATTGCTGCCGAACATCAACATGCACAAATGCCGGTAGCAATAGATTAGATTCATTCAATAATATAATTTCGGTTCAATCAATGATCAATATCGATTTCAAATGACGATGATGATGATGATTATTTGAGTGTGCGTGTGTGTGTGTAGGTTATTTGATTTTGACATGTCAAATATGTTGTAGTTTTCATTTTCATTTTTCTTTTGTTTTTTTTTCGTCAAAAAAAAAAATTTAATGTGAACGAAAACAAAAAAAAATCGAATCAAATCAAATTATTATTATTTATTGTTTCAACAAATAAAAAAAAGGGAGGAGAAAAACAAGTTCAGGTCAATTTGTTTGTTTGTTTGACCGATTGTTGTTGTTGTTGTTGTAAATCCATCCATCTATTACATGATGATTGGATCGAGTCATTGGATATCGTCAAAAGTTTTAGCCAAAAAAAAAAAAAAAGATTTTGGGTGATGGAATGATGATGATGACAACGTGGTAAAATTAGTGGTAAGAGTTCCGTATATTTAGCATCATCAAATGGTAATTTATTTATTTACTTTTCTAGTATGAATGTAATACTAATGATGATGAGCATGATAAGGATGAATGAAATGAAATGACAAATGAATGAATAAATCAGTCATGTATGATAATGATGATGATGATGATGATGGTTATAACACAATTAGATCCAACAACAACAACAACAAAATTATGTGATTATTTAAAGTAACTGAAAAAATGTTGTCGATTGTCCCTTTCGTCCAGTATATCTTTTCTTTTTTTTTCTGGTCATTATTATTTGGTCACAATTCCCGTCTATTTCAGTAGGCCAACACATGATGATGATGATGATGATGAAAATGGGAAAATATGAATATAAAGATAAAGATAATCGAGTGTGTATAAGCAAAAAAAAAAGTTGTATAGTGTTTATTTGGGGTGTCCAAAGTGGCAATAAACTATCTATCGTTTTTTTTCTATTTCTGGGCATTTCGATGTGCTGAGACCAAAAAAAAAAGTGATAGCCATGATGATGATGATGATGGTTGATGATGGTGGTAAAGACAAATTGGCCAGAGATTTTTGTTTTTTTTTTTTGTGTGTAGGTAGAAGCAACAAGCAGCAGCAGGTTTCAGGTCAAGGACTATTATCAGGTAGCAAAAAGAAAAAAAAACATCAATGAAGATGATGAGATGTACAATAATAAATGAATAGTTTGTCAAAAAAAATATAGGACGCCTTTTGTGCGTTTCAATCATTGAAATGAAACGAATCGAATCGAATCAAATCAAAACCGATTGAATCGAAACGAATCACAAATATATATCGACGATTGTCGATTGATGATCGATGTTGGTCAATTGGTCAATGTGTACAATTCAAATAACAATCGACAAATAATAAAAATAAAAAATCCTCGATTGATCATCATCATCATCATCGTTACAGCTTGATGATTATAGATTGATTGTGGGTGGATTTGTTTTGTTTTTTTTTCTTCAAACACACCTGTTATAAATCAATCAAACAAAACAAACCAATAAATCATCCACTTTATATAGACAAATTTTTTTATGATGATTATAGATTGATTGTGGGTGGATTTGTTTTGTTTTTGACAAATTTTTTTTGCTCTTAACTGCCATCATCATCATCTGCGCCATCTCTCTAAGATCAATAGATCATCATCAACAAAAAAAAAGACAAGTTGCACTTTTTTCTGGCCAAAAAAAACCAACATTAATAATGAATCGAATAAATAATTCTTCAAACACACCTGTTATAAATCAATCAAACAAAACAAACCACAAATCATCCACTTTATATACAATGATGATGATTTCTGGTTTTCTGATGATTCTTTGTCGGTTGTAGGTTATTGTCATTATGTGTTACCATTTGATGATTGACCAGAAAAAAATGATTGATTGATTGATTGGTTTGATTTTTGCCTTTTTTTTTGTTTTTTTTTCTGCCAAAAAGCTTCACATGATATTGGTGGATAATTTTCTTGCCTATTCGAGCATAATACTGGTATAGCCAATTCCATGGCAAATAAAGCGTTTGCTGTTTTTTTTTCTTTAATTTCAAATTGTGAATTGGATTTTTCGTTTTTCACTGTTTATTCAATGAATGATGATGATGATGATGATACTAATTCTTTTTTTTCTTCATTCTGACAGAATTCAACGATTCAACTGTGCTGGGCTGTCATTCAAAAATTTTCTCGAAACAAAACAAACCAGAAACAGAAAAAATTTTCAGGAAACAAAACAACGAATGATTTTTTCTTCTCAACGGTCGTTGATCATTATAATGATTCTGAATGATGTGCTTCTTATTCCATGATCAATGAAAACACCAGTAGTTATTTTTTTTTCAACAACAAATTCAACAACAAAAATGGCAATAAAACCATCAGATTTAAGAATTTTTTCGTGTTGAAAAAATCAATCATTGACAATTGAAACCAGACAACAGCTGTAATAAGAAATTTGAAAGAAAAAAAAATGAATGGACCATTAGAAACGGCAACATTACCACCGCTGACAACTACCCCCATTCAATCAAATGGTAGCTTATTTTCTTCCTATTACCATCCACACCAACATCAGCTTCATCATCATCATCATCATCATAATCATGCTAACCATTATCCATTAAATGGCCATTATCATTTATATCCATCATCAACAACCACAACAACAGCAACCGCTAATGGTGCTATTCAAACAACCAATGGATCCCATGATTGTGAATCGCTAACATCACTTAATGATGGTGATATTCATGTAACTGTATTACAAATTGATCAACAACAACAATTCCAAAGTAGTAATGGTTATCATAATGGAAATGAGGTTATGAACTCTTTACCATCATCGAAGAATTTATCATATCATCAACATCATCCTAATAATAATAATAAGCAATTAACTGGCTTGAACAACAGTGATTTTGTTACCGTATTGACAATCGTTTCAACCGGTGCCACAATATTGACTCCATCAACATCAACAATAACGACGACGACGACGACAACAGCCAATCAAGTCACAATGAATGATACGGGATCAAATTATAATCATCATCAGAATAGTAATCAAAGGATATTTATCGATAATAAACGTGGAGAAATTGAAGAAGAAGTGATAATTTATCGTTTACCCGGTGAACGTTTGGGTATGGCATTGAGGTTTGATGGTGGTCAAAGTGCAAATGAAACTATTCGTCGTGTTTTCGTACAGAGCATTACGTTGAATTCACCATCAGCCAAAGCTATTGGCTTGATGTTGGGTATGTTACGTGAAGGTGATGAAATTCTACATATCGATGGTCGGTCATCTTCTTCGTTGACCCGGTTAGAATGCATAACATTGCTACGCGATGCTCCCGTTTGTATTCGATTGTTTGTTCGTCGAAGAAATTGTTCGAATTCTCTCAATAACAACAACGGTGAAGATAATGGCGGTGTTCAAATGGCCCAAAACTGTCAAACATGTCCATCACAACAGCATCCAACATCAATGACAACAACTACAATGACGACAATGACAACAGTAGCAGTGCCAAAAGTATCAAATTGTTGCCAAATGCCAATACATCTGCCAAATTTGAACAGTCAATATTTGAATTCAAATCACAATCACCTAAACAATAATAATGATGTACAGAATCGCTTGACCGCATCATCATTATCATCATCATCATTGTCTTTATCGTCATCGACATCATCATCATTGATATCAGCAACGAATACGCCATTGTTGACCCAGTTGCTCAATAGTTGTTCTGACCAATCGATAGCATCATCATCATCGATATTGAACAATAATAAAAAAGTTCCACCACCGGTTCCACCAAGGATGGCAACAACAACATTGTCATCGAAACGTAAACCAAGGCCAATGCCTATACCACCGCCAACACAGTTAACGGTAGACAATCCTAATGAAATTTTAGCCAATCAACATCATCAAATCGATACTAAAAATGTCGATTTAATCACTAATCAATCAAGCGAGCAGACAATGATCATTAAACAAAACAACAATGGTAGTGTTGGTTACATTGAACAACATGGCCAATATTCAACACCGATTGTTCACCAACAACAGAATTATTCACAGCCGGCACCAACCACACAGCAGCAGCAGCAGCAATCAATAGCAGTTATAGAAAAACCACCAAGACGAAAAAACTTTCATTCCAACTGTACAACAGGTCATCAAAATGTTGTTAATGGTAATCCACCACCATTACCACCTCGAAGACCAAAAGGACCACCACCAAAACCACCAATAGATCGAATACAATCAACACCGTCGATTGTTAATGTTGTCAATTTGATCCAAAATGGTTATCAACAACACCAACAACAACAACAACAAAATCAAAGCAATATTAACATTAGCAATACGGCTAGCCTACACAATACTAACGCAGTTGTTACAACTGCAAAATCTTTACCATCATTAGTGACAGTCATTCATTCTCCTACGAATTCGAATCTAAGTAAAGTAATGGAAAATCATTCACATACTTCAATAAAGCCAACACCGAATAACACTGCCAAAGTTTCATTTAATATTTCTAATTCAAAAGTATCATCATTTATACGTCAAACGGCTGAAAAATTACATCGAAAACTTTCTGGAAAAGCCATTTCAACATCTTCGTTGTCGTCATCGTCATCGTCATCTTTATCGTCATCATCATCATCATCGAATGGAGAATCGGATGAAGAAAAAGATGTCATAATGAATTCCATCAACAAGTCTAACAGCAGCAGTACTTCAAAAGGTTCGACAACCGTCATAGTTGATTTAGCTAAAACAACAATCGATAATAAGGAAGAAATTCAAGGAATGAAGCTAGATAATGTCATTCTTGTTCATAGTAATAATGAAAATAATAAATCTGAAGTTGAATTTGATGTAGAAGAAAGAAAACCGACAACAACAACATTATCGTCGTCGACACTTCCATCTACGACGACGATGACTTTGTTGACAACAACAACAACAACAATATCACCTCCACCACCAACCGCCGCATCTTATTCAGATTTCAATCATTATTCTGAAGAGGTAAGCATCGGTATTTAAAATCATTTTTTCTCACTAATAAATTAAAATTTTGTCGGTTTTTCTTTCTGTTTGTTTTTTCTCAAACATCAATCTAGTCTTTTGAATCTGATACGGATGATACAAGCTCTTCAGTATCCACTATTATTGAAAGAGGACCATATTGTGGCAACAATTCATTCGTAGAACATACGAAAACCACCAATGTTGATGATGATGATTATGACATTGATAATTTATCAATTGTTGATAGGGTACTAAGTCCTTTCGAAAAATTGGACAACAAAGACATTTCACCAGTGAATTCAAAAATCACATCGGCTACTACTACTACTACTACTACTGATAGCTTGGAAACGAATTTATCGGCTCAATCATATTTGGTCACAAATTTAGCGATCGCAACGGATAAACATTATTCGCAACAACAACAACAATCTGAACAACCACACCACCAACTGTCATCCGATAAGACAGACACGGAGCTTATCAATGATGATGAACAGTTGATGATGATGATAGAGACAACAGAAAATGATTTTACGACCGCTAATGAACCAATGTTGATTGATGCTGATCGATCATATTCGATTGATGCATCTCCGAACTGTATTGGAAACGATACTGATGATTTTCGACGAGATCATCTTCAAGCTAGTAGTGGTAGTGATGGCAGTGGTGGTGTTGATATAGAACAATCTGTTGATTCATCAATAATCAAAGAGAATAACGATGATGGCCATTCGGATGATGAAGATTTAATAGCAATTAAAAATGATCTATTTAGCCGATTAGATGATGATAAAGATGATTTTATGATTGATACAGATTATTTAAATGAATCATCAAGTCGTTTTATGTTTCATCATAATAGTAGTGAATTGATTTTAAATTCATATAGTGAATTATCATCAATCACTGAAGAAGACGAGGATGATGATAATTCTACATTTGAAATGAAATGTCTGGATAATGGTAGAACAATTCCTGGAAAACAACAACAAAAACCTGTTGTTCCCGAAAAGCCAATTATTGGAAATATCAAACAACCAGTCATCAACATGATGAATAATGAAATGCATAAGATGAATGGATCATTGAAGCCAATCTTAATTACTAATGGCGAATGTCAAGATAATCGAGATAAGGAACAAAAATTGGAAAATTTGAAAGTAGAATATAATGATAATGAAGTAGTGAATAGAAATCATTCTTCTGATTGTGATTCATCAACATCATCATCGACATCTGAATCATCTGATGATCAAACTAAAGTTAGCCTGGATAATGTTTTTGAATTTCTCAATAAAGCCACTGATGATTTTGAATTTGTTGAAAGAATGTTAGAATTAACAAATGATAAAATCGATTCAATCGATGATATAATGCGTATTCGTGAATCATTACGTGGTCTACAAGAATCGGATCAACGTGAAAATTTACAAAGATTTTTAGATGGTAAAGATGTTTTTGAAGAGCTTATTGCATTATCATCACCATCGTCTACTTCTTCTTCTGTTTCATCATCATCAATGTTTTCTTCATCATCATCATCATCATCTTCATCACATTTATCTGCACCATCTTCTCCGGATCATGAATTTCCACCTTCTGATCATCATCATCATCATCATCAACAACAACAACAACATCAGCAAATTCATAATAAATCTAACGCAAATGTTAAACGATCCAATGGCCAAACAACAACACCACCAACGCATAACCTTTTACAAATGGAGAGTTCTATTGATTTTGCTAGCCTGCCAGTTTGTTTATCAGATCAACAACCATCATCAAAAAATACACCAAAATTATTACTTAATCCACCGCCACCATCAGCAGCAAAAAAACAATTCAAACAACAACCTACGCCAATAAATAAATCGATAATGATGACCAACAACAAGGTGGATCAATCGATTGATTCGAAAATTCCAACGCTATTTCCAATTACTTTGTCATCGAAATCATCATCATCATCATCGTTAAATAATTTGAACAAACGTTCACAATCGATATCGAATATTTTTAGCCGATCCACAAATAGTACAATGATGAGTAATAATAACGGTTCATTTAATTCGTTAATCGAAACAAAACCTAGTCTAATACCGAGACCAATTTCTAATTTTAATCTATCATTACCACAATCAACATTGAACAGCAATAATTTAACAAATGTTAGTCAACAACGAACTATGATGATCAATAATCGTATAACAACCAGTCACAATTGTTTGAATCGATCAACATCGATGCAATCGATATTTTCTACAAATTCTTTATCACGTTCAACAAAACATGTATCAAAAATAGCAAATGGCACATTGACAACACCACGGCGGCAATCATCAACTATTACCTCGGGATTATCAACAACAACGACAGGAAAAAATTATCATCACAATTGTTTGAATCATAATGATGGATCACCACCATATGGTTATGGTTCATTGTCAAGATTGAATTCCAAATCAAGTACAAATGTTTATAATACTGGTAGTTTACCACGTCCAATAAATAATAAACAAACATCATTCCATAATTTAAATAATAATAATCGAAACAATCAATCAAATAATATTCAATTATTAAATCATCATGATGGATCATCGAATAATAATCGAGATTTTCGTACAACATCATTAACTGATTTAACATATGGTAAGTTTATTTGATTGTTTTTTTGCTTTGAATTTCTATTCTATTCTATTCTCCTTGCATTGTATAATATGACTTACAATTTCAACAAAAAAAAAACTTAAACGAAATTTAATTAACATCGATGATGATGATGATGATAATGATGATAATCTTATGCAAAAAAAATTTAATAATTTTAATCCCATTAATCACAATTTTACTGACAAACACACACACACGCTTACTAATGATGATCTAATTGAATTCGTTACTAACTTGCAAACAATGAATATATTGAATCTTAAACGAATGATGATCATATTTGTGTGTATCAATTTCATCATCCTATAGGAGCAACCAGAAACAATCCTGCACGTCGAATACATACCAATGCACGGAAAAAACATTCCTGTTTATTATATGCACCAAATAATTCCAATCGACCACCACCACTACCATCACCTATAAAACCGATAAAACCTAAACCTATCCCTGTGGTGACGGAAATTCGAACTTATTGTCCAAATATTAATAATAATAATTCTATTATAAATGGTGATGGTAATTGCAAAAAAATTGAACAAGAATCAGATGATGATAACAACAACAATAATGGTGGTAAAAAACGAATCATTGTAATCAAGAATCATTGTACGATTAAACCACCTGTTGCTACATTTAAATCGAAAAAATTTGAAGAAATTTTTTAGGAAGAAAAAAAATTTTCCAAAGCTTTAATTTTCCTATACAAAATCTTTATCTGGTTCTGGTGGAATTTTCAACATGAGTTCAACATTCTTTTTTTGATTGAATCATAATCCTCAATTCCTTTTCCTTTTGACTTTTTTTTTGTGACACCAAAAAAAAGTTGAAAAATTTGCATAAAAAATCTCTCTTTTTTCCAAATATTTTCGGTCATTTTTCGTTGGCTACTTTTTTTTATCTTCTTTTGTTCATAATGATGTTGCAAAGAGAATAAAAAAAAACTTTTTCATTTTTTATCTATATTTACATTCATTTATGGTGATTTTTTCTCTTTTATTTCTGCTAAATTGGTCATAAATAACAATTTTTTGTTGTTGTTGGAATCTCTTTGTTTGAATCGTCGTCAAATATTCGTCACCGTTTTCGATCATAGACGTCATCTACGTGTACGATTGTCCATCATCATCATCATCATCGTTATCGTTATCGTTAGATCCAGGAATAAGAACACAAATTGATACATTGACTCGGATATATTTTTAGTCTTGATTAATTGATTTTCATTTTTCATTTTGTGGCAATGTTTCTTTTAATTAAATCCTGTTATTACTTAATGTCCGAAATACAACAACAACAAGTTTTTCAGGAACAAGATGTATAATAACACAACAAACGTTTAAGTTTCAACGAATAATTTCTGGAGAGAAGAAAATGTAAAAAAAACAATTATCATTATGGAAATATAGTTACCGTGATGTAATAACATTGTTAAATAATAACTTGCACGTACAATTGAAATGTGTGCGTGTGTTCATTATATGATTGCACGTGTCATGTTCCATAAATAACTCAAAATGAATGTTGTTTTTTTTGACCTATTAGTCCCGCATTTTTTTTGAATGAATCTAATCAGCAGCCATCAAAAGGATCATCATAATAATCGATTGATTGCCATTCATTGTGTGTGTGTGCTGTGCTAGTTCGTTCAATAAATAAACATTAGAGATTGTAGTGGTTCGTAATCATCATTTGAATAATTTTTTGGCATCCCTTGCTCGCTCTTTCTCCCCTTTTTTCTATCTCTTTTCATCTAAAAGAGAATGTTGGCCAAGTTGGCCAAAACAAAAGGTGGTGGGCTACTTTTTTTTACATTTTTAGAATGAAAAAAAAAAATGTAATTACCTAGGCAATAATGATAATACTTGATGGATCCTCTTTATTTTATTTTTTATGTTCCAAAATAATATTTTCGTTGAATGTAAAAGACATCGTTCTGGAGAGAAATAACCATAAACAGAAAAAAATGCCAAATAGAGAGAAAAATGGATTTTCTTCAAAAAAAAAAAAAAAAAAATTGAAAGAAACAAGTTGAAAATTGAACCAAAAATGACTTTACATTTTTTTCGAATGAAATGATGATGTTGTTGTTGCGAATAAACATTGAAATATTTTTTAGCTTGGCGACTATATCGACTCTGTAATTTTTTTGAACAATTGATTTTTTATGTATTCAAATTCAAATTTGTTTTTTTTTAATTGTGATCGATTCGATTTTCGTGAATTTCATTTTGTTTTGTGTTTGACACACGCATATGGTGATCGATATCAACAACATCTCAATCACGATTTACACTAAAATTGCATCCATCCATCCATCATTCATTCATTCATCCAGATATAAAATGTTGAAAAACCCACCTGTTCTATTTACTTATTGAGTATCCAGTATCGATGTAGATTTTTCTTTCTTTTTTGAGTGTGTGTGTGTGTGTGTGTGAGTGTGTGTAAATTGTATCTGTAGTAGATTTTTAATTTTCTTTTTTTTCCAATGACTAGCTAGTTTTTGTTCAAATAATTTCTTTTAACCAATGCCGACATTTTACCATTACATTTACCTGCTTACACATATCCTGGTGGTGTGATGATGATGATGATGATGATGATTGTGTTGCAGAAAACCAAAAAAAAAAATTAGCATTCAATGCCATTGAATTCATAAATGAAATGAATTGAATTTCACCTATTTTTCATGAGATTTAAAGTTTTTTTTCAAGTCTTAATCTATCTATCATCACGGTATGTGTGTGTGTGTGTGTGTTTTATTTAATTAGATTTGTAGATCATCGTTTGAATTGATTGTGTGAAATTTTTACCAATTGTTTGTTTTGTTTTGTGTGTGTGTGTGTGTGTGTGGTGGCCTTTTTCCCTCTCCCAAAGATCATCAACAGGTTCTCATCCTCATCATCATCATTCATATCAATCGTGATTGACTACATTGATTGATTCCCATCCATCAAAATCTGATGATGATGATGATGATGATGATGGATTGCATTTTTTCCTAAACCCTATATAATTAATTATCAAAGATTTGATGATAGTGTCGATCGGGTGATGATCAAATTTTTTTTTCTATTTTCTTTCCATTCATTGTAGGATTGATAAACAACTCACCAACAACAACCATTACATTAAACAGAAACAAATATCAACAACAACAGCAGCAGCAGCAACAATCACAATTTGGTTTATTGAAATCATCATTTAATCATAACTATCATCAAAATCAATTCAATACTAATGGATTACCAGCACCGGTGGTAATTAATAATCAGAAACAGTATTCCATTATCGGCAATGGAAACTTGTTTCGTTCTGATTCATTAAATTCGACAAACAAAAACGTCAATCCTTTTACTTTGGCTGAATATCATCATATTCATCGTTATAATAATCTGGATAAAGATCATAACCATTTTGCATTAGAATCATATTCATCAACAAATAATGTTGATGATGGTAATAGTATAAATGGATTTTCCTCATTAGAACATTCGAAAAACTCTTCTTCTTCTTCTTCTTCTTGGCTCATTCATAATAACCAAAACCAAGTTCAACGACAACAACAACAACAACTAGGACACAACCATCAACAACAACTATCACCTAGTTCAAATTATTGGCATTGTTCGAACCAAAATAATTCAATTGCTAAATTACGAACTGGTTCCTCCTTACAGCTACAACAATCAAATCAAAATCTTAATAAACAAACATCAAGAAATCCAATCCGTTGTAATAAAACCGATCAAACGATTAAATCGACAAATGGTTCATCAAATAAATTGTCTGATAATGAAGAATTAGTGCCACCGCAGCAACCTAGATCGATTTTAAGAAATTCATCATCCAAATCATCATACAAATCTAATAACAATAACAATTCAATTGTTCAACCGATCGTTAAAGAAACAAAAATAGATGGTAAAAAAGTTTTTACAAAAGAAAAAACAGCAACTACGACAACAACAACTGGTAATTTAAAAACAAGACTTAATTTTGTTGAATCAAGTTCATCATCATCATCATCATCATCATCATCATCGTCATCATCATCGCAACATTCAGATTCTGAATCAAGCGATATTGTAACAACTTCATCGGATAGTTCAGATTTTCAACTTATTTGTCCTAATAATTCACAAAATTTTAATTGGCCATTGGAAACGAAACGCCAAAATCATCAACAGCAGCAACAACAACAGCATAGAGTTTGTTTTATGGATCAAATTGATCAACAACATTGTTCACATAAACATAAAGAAGAACAACAATTGACCATCAACGGTAAGTAAATCATCATTTGTATTGAAATTTCTTTTTATCATTTCTAATTGTTTTGACCTTTTTTTTCTTGTGAAATATTTTAACATTTCATGAATGGAAATTACTTTCGAATGTAGGCGATCTTCTGCGAACAAGAACAACAACATCAACATCGGAGACAGCTACGTCTACGAGAACAGAACAAGATCATCATCAACAACAACAACAACAGCAGCAGCAACAACAACAACAAAAATTGATCAACAAAATGGATTCATCAACAACAGGCGAACATCATCCGTATTCATCATCACCGGAGGAGGTCGCCATACTTTCATCATCCACATCGACATCATCGATTTCATCGCTTGGCTCATTGACAGATAATTTTAATAATCATAAAAAATTATCATTTAAAGCAGCAGGTAAATCGGTTAGCTTTGAAAACGACAATGGTCAACATCATCGATCGGATCATGTGATGCAAAAATCTTCTTTCTATCTAACGCCAAATCCGCATCGAGAAGACTCGGGAATTTTCGCTTCAGATGATACATCATCCACATCTGAATTTTCACAATCACCAAGTCCCGATTTATTAGCCAGACCGTCTACTGAAAAGGTTAGTTTGATGATTAATTATCTTTCAACACCAAGTAATAATTTTTAATTTAAAAATCTCTTTTTGTGTTTACAGATTTCTGATGTTGATTCGATTAATGAAAATCATCAACAACAACAATGTATGACGCACAACAATCAAAACAAACAAATGGCTGTGAATAATAATAATAATAATGGAAATCAGCAACTTTCATTGTCTCGATCATCATCGGCACCATGTGAAACTGAGGTTCCATTGAAAACGATTCTCGCTGAACAACAACAACAACAAGGTGAATCGTCACTAAAAGCAAATTCATCATTATTATCACGTGATTCTTTCATAACGGCACGTCGTCATCAAAATGTCTGCAAACTAAAAGGTTTGATTATTCCAGAAGCGATTACCGATGGACTAGATGAATGTGATTCGATTTCAACACCAGATGATCGAATCGAAATTGATTTGCCAACAATAATTAGTGAAGAAATTCTCAAGATTGAAGAACTGGATAGAAATAAATCATTGAAAATGAATCAAATGAATAAATCACCCAGTGAAAATATTCAACCAATCGAAATAATACCACTAAAACCGGCAAATGTTGGTGTGCCAAAATATTCACCAATGTTCAAACGAAGAGTGTTTTCTTTGCCTGTTAATAATTATCTTACGAATGAAAAAATGGAACAAAATATTGATTCCAGAGCTGTTAAAATTGGTCCAAATATACCACCGAAACCAAGACTGAATAACAAGACGACGAAACCAGTGAAAATGAATTGTCCACCACCGTTGCCTCCTAAACAGAAAGAAAGAAGTGATTTATCGGATTCTTTTCCAGTTCAAAACATTGAATCTGAACATGAGAATAAAAACGAACAAAATCGAGATGAACCTAAACAAAAGAATATGAATGAATTTGTCATTTATCAGAAACAACATTCAATGAGAGCTATTATATTTCATTTAAATGATTTGAATCTTAATGATGAAAAAGAATATCTACAACATCTTGGATTCACAATTAAAGGTGGATTCGATTCTGATTCGGACAATGTTACGGTAAGTTTTTGGTTTGTAGAAAAAAATGATTTTCATTTAGTTTGGAATTTTGTTTTCATCATTTCATCATAGGTGGAAAGTATTGATCCGAATGGTATGGCTGCTCAAGATGGCCGCCTTCAAAAAGGTGATAGAATCATTTCGATTAATGGTAAGTTATCATCATTGTACTACTAATGGATTCCAATCATGATTTTCAATGATTATATCAATTACAAGGTAAACGTTTGGCTGGAATGACTCACAATAAAATCATTGATCTGCTCAAGACTTCTTGTTTGAGTGAAAAAGTTGTTCTTGTTTGTACCAGACCACATGAATCAAATAAAAATGAAATGAATGATGATCATTCTTCTTTGCCATCATTGCGATCATATCATGGTGAAAGTATTGAAACATCAAAATCATCTACAACAATAGAATCATCATCAAATAAAGATGCTAATAACAACAACAATTTCAAAATGATTCAAGCTGATATCACAAAAGACGTAACTGGTCTTGGATTTATGATTGAAGGTGGTAAAAATTCATCATTTGGTGATCTTCCAATATCGATTAAACGAATCTATAGAGGTACAAAAAAAAGTTGAAATTCATTCATGACATGATTTTGAATTTTTTTTTAATTCTCAATCAACAGGTGGAGCAATCGATAAAGAAGGTACACTTATGGAAGGTGATGAATTATTATTTGTTAATAATCATCCAATGGAAAAAATGACAAAATCTGATGCTTGGAATTTTCTAAAACAATTACCTGATGGTTTAGTATCGATGGTTGTTAGACGAAAAATGTTTCTATGATGATCCATCATCATCATCATCATCACCAATTAATAATTGAATCAAACTGTGATAATTTTACAAATGAAATCAAATTGCTGTTTCACACATTGGCAAAAAAAAATGGCGATATACTTTTTAATTAAAATTTAATTTATTATCATCATTTTTAATCAAAAACCTTACAAGGCGTAAACTGAATTGGCTGGATCACAACGTTCATCAATCACCATCATCATCATCATCATCATTAAGCAATAAAGTCCTCGTATTTAATATATATTCATCAATCGGTGGTTACAAAAAAAAGATACATTCTATAAATACAATACAACGCCCATTGGAAATCATTTTTATATTCAAGTGTTTTTTTTTCCGGTACAACAATTTTTTTTTGCAATTAAAAGTTTTTTTGGATTTTTTCAATGTTTTTTTCAAATTTTTTTTATTATTTTTCGCGGGGCCATCCTATGTTACTATGACGTAATCACGTGATTAGAAGCCGGCATGCATAGACAGCCAGACGCTATTTTTTTTTTTTTTGATTTTATGTTTTCTGTAAACAGGAATCTTTTTTTTTTCTTGCCATATGGCATCATCATTTTCAATATAAATTTCGAAATTTTGTTTCCAAAACTTTGCTTATTATCGTCCATAAAAGGACTTTGATCGTGTTTTATCATCATCTCTATTTATTGACATAAATACTGTTCTTTATTAGAAAAAATGTCAATCGATTTAAATAAAAGTTTTTGATTCAACACATCGCTATTTAATGATTCTCTATGTAAAAAAAAATCTAGATCATCATCATCATTTTAATCTGAATAAATCCTGCCTGATTGATTAATCATGTTATCAATTTTAAGATTCATATCAATTGAACCTGTAGTATTTTTCTATGTGTTGGCCATATTTGCCGAATATGATGTTGTCGGGGATTTGTTCTACGTTAGTAAATGTATTGATCATCTGAAATTGAATGCTACGGATCAATTACATCTGTGTACTGAAGATCTTAAACATAATAAAAGTTCAGAAATATCTAATGCCGTTTCGAAAGAAGCTAATGATGCTCAAAAAATTTATAATGGTATTCTTTATGCTACCTCGATCATTTCATCATTCATTGCAGCTACATATGCAGATAGACAAAGTAAATTCTGGCCAATCATTATTCCAATAATTGGTTCAGCCATCGTTCAGTTGTTTGTTCTGGGCTCATTGTTCAATAATTTTAGTGATGAAATTCCATTCCTATTTCAATCAAATGGTTCATTTATCATATTCATTTGTTCATGTATATCGGGTATCACCGGTGGAACATCGACATTATTGGCAAGTTGTTTTGCACATGTTGCCGAAAAATGTCCACAATCACAACGAACATCAAGAATTACGATCGTTGAAGCATGTCTTTTTGGTGGTGGATTTTTTGGCTTCACTTTTGCCGGTGCCATTCTTCGTAGATATCCAAATTCATTGAATCGTTATAATTTGAATTTTGGTTTATTCTTGACCGCACATTTGCTCATGTTATTCTATGTGATCATAAGACGTCGAATGTTTTCGAAGCCTAATCAAACACAGTCATCACAAGTTAGCTATGCTATGTTATTTACATCGGTATTTCGTACAATAACACGTCAACGTGTTTATCGTTATCAACGACGCGTCATCTGTCTAATTTTGTTAGCATACATTGTTATTTCCTATTGGACTGTTGCTATCACTACTATGTTGTTTATCTATACAAGAAATCTTTTGCAATGGCCATCATGGAAATATTCATATTTCAGTAGCGCTAAATTTGGTCTTTGTGGAATTTTTCTATGTCTATTGCCTATTGTTCAATATTTACTTGGTATCGGAAAATTGGCCATCGGTAGCTATTTTCAGAAACCATTAAATGATGGAACATTGATTACGATTGGTTTATTATCACGAACATTGACCATCGTTTTGATTGGACTGTCATCAGTAGCATCGAACGATTTGTTTATGATTTTGGCACTAGTATCAATCATTTTTGCTGAATATCCAATACCAGCTATTCGTTCGATGATTACGAAGATTGTTGAACCGAACGAAAAAGCACAAATGTTTGCCGTTCTAGCAGCTATACAATCTATCTGTTTTTTTACTGGTGGCATCGGTTTCTTAGCGATTTACAATGCCGTTTTGGGACAAATTTTCAGTGGACCAGGATGGATATTTATTATCGTTGGCTTTTTACAATTACTTTCAATGTTCATATTCTGGTACATTGAATATCTGCTCTATCAATCAAATGCCGAACAAATGTCTATTACATCACGAATGCCCAATACTAACATCAGTGAATTAGAACAAAATGAATAGAAAATCATCGATTGTTTAAAATCAAAAACAATTGTTAACAATAAAATAAAAAAAAATTTATTTTACCAATCAATTTACAAAACAAATAGTAAGCAAAAAAAAAAAGCAATGATGACATTGAAATTGTATGTTAAAGATGAGTGTAAAGGCTTGAACAAATTCGTGTATGATGATTAAGTCGATGATAATGAAATCTGCTATGTCGATTTGGATCGAAACGAATTTTCTGGTTTGTATTATTTTGATTAATATTGCTAACGATGAATCGATGATATGTTTGTCGTGTTTTGAATCGATAATTAACACTTTGATTATACCATTCAGAATTTTTATATGGTATTGTTGTTGAATGTATTTTAACTTTTTTCGGTGCACCATCTATACAAAGAAACAAACAAACAAACAAAAAAATTATTCAACTATTCATTCATTCATTCAATTCTCATTCTTACCATCTTCATCATCAGTGGTATTTTTCGGTGGTAATCTATGACCATCAAATACAATCAAACATTTGGATGGATGTTCTGATTGTGCATCCGACGAATCATCAAAATCTTGTTGATAAAGGAATACTTTTTCATATTGTTTATGTGATGAATCCAGCAATGAATCAGTGAACATTGAAAGTGATTCATTTTTTGGCATTTTTGTCGTATCGGTTGAAAGCATTGATTCAAGTAAACCAGTACCTTTCTTTTTATGTGATTTATTTGGTGATTTTTCTGAATTTTGTCGCTCAATGGCCGATATAATTGAATGATGATATTCTTTTTGTTTGTGTTTTTGTTTTCTATTGTTGGGAACCAATTTACGCCAATTTTTTAGCCAAATTTCAAAATTTCCATTCAATTTCAGCGTTTCAATCACAGGAACCAATGAACCATATAAAGAATCACCGAAAAATTCTGCAAAAAATTTATAAATTGAATCACTTTGTTCGACGATAACTAAATCATCCGGTTTTTGAGTCATTAATAGAATTAAACCTTTTAGGATTAATTTTACAACCATAAGTATTCTGCATAATACTAGATTTCTTGTATGTTGACAAATTAGAATTTCTTTACATTGTTCATCATGTTGTTCATCGTAGTGAAAATAACAATAGAAAAATGATTGTTCATCAGTCAATAATGGCAGTAGATAACGTATACACATATCGAAACCAAGAAAATGAAACAGATTCAATATGGCAAAGTCTATAGATGATATGTTCAAACGAAGAAGATTATTATTATTATCGATTGAAATTTGTGCACGATTTCGGATTTTTGAACACAAAATTTTCATCAGACGATGTTGAATATCGGTGAATGGTATGGAAAATTTGTATAATAATTGTGTAAACAAATATGAAGAATAGGATCGTATCTGTAATACTAGAGGATATAATTGGAAATAGCTAACAAGCGTACAGGAAACATTCAACGAGTTGGATTCAAAACAAAACATCATAATTGTTTCGGCGAAATCTTCAAAAATTTTCGAATCAAATGTTAAATCAACAAATTCATCATTTCGTATCATTGAACCAAGTACAGTCAATAGTCTTGATATTGATTTTAATCTCGTTTGATTGAAACGGATTAAATCAATTTCATCATCATCATTGGATGGTGAAAGTTTTTCCCATGAAATAATTGTATTACGTATGAAATAGAATAATGGACATAACAATGATTTGACTGAACGATTTTTCGACAGATCATTTAGGAATACTTTTAGACAACGATTTTGTTCTTTCATTGATGATATTTTCGAATTGTTTAACAATAATTCAGTAAGTTTTTGAAAATAATTGTCGATTAGATTAGATTTTCCACTTAAATAGTAGATATTATCACAGATAGGATTCGTAAGGCTAAACCAATCAATATCGAAAGCGCGCATCAGTTTATTTCCTCCATTTTCTTCTTTTTTAGTGGTGGTATTAATTTTCTTCAGTATTTTCATAGTTTCCATTTTGAGATCAACTATATTATGTTTTGCAATGAAAATTTCAGCCGATGGCACTTGTATAAAATAATTTTCTTGGTCTATCGTTTCATTATCATCATTATTGTTATTATTATTTGATGATATAGTGTTGTTATGACCGAAAATCAGATCACAATCAAGTTCTTGCATTGCTTGAAAAACATTTTTGGCAGACAATTTTGTACAAAATGAATGCCTCATAAATTGTGATGAACAATGTATCAATTCACGTATCCTGTAGCTTACATCTTCAGAAATTAATAAAGCTGCATCTTCTGTTAATTCTTGTTGAATTTCATTTTGTTCAGAGATTATTTGTATGGTTTCAAGTGGAAAAACAACTGAAGAAATTTCAGAAGAATCTTGATCAACAGCGGCTAATATTTCTGAACTATCAGAATCATTTGAAGATTTTTCATCATCATTATCGTCATCAACTGTATCATCAGAACAAGAACTTTGTTCATCCAAATCAGAAGATGCATTGGTCAAACTGGAAGCATCGGAAGCATTAGTACTAGAACCACCACCATCATCCAATGATTCTTCTTCAATAAGATGAGAATGGCTATCACTATTGAAACCATTAAAATCTTCGGGTTCATTTTTTATAGACATATTTGAAACGACGTTATCAACGACCGCCATTCCATCTACCATTTCAGCATCACTGTTGATCATATTCAGCATTTCATCGTAAGAATGTCTAAGACGACGAAGAATAATGATCGTATCAAATTCAAATTATGGAATTTATTATGACAATTCCAATGATTCTTGAATTTTTCACTATCTAAAAACAACAAAGCAAATATACAATGTGCGAGTATGCCTGCCGGTATCACGGTATCTATGAAACGATCATCATCATCAATATATAAAATGGTCACATGGTTTACAAAAATAAAAATCTGTATATTTCACATGTGATTTACAATTGATTTTTAATAAAAAAAATCATTCTTTTCACTATGATGATTATCTCATTACTTGGACCATTAACATTTCGAATAAAATTGATTGCACCATACCGATCATGTGCCACCATCACAACAATCTTTAGTGAACCAAATAAATTTAAAAGTAAATTCGATTATTCATATGTACCAGCGGTGTTGAGAGATATTGAAAACAAATGGAAAAATAAAGTCGATGGATATTGGAATAATGTTGTTTCAAAACAACAAACAACTTCCGATACAAAATACGTATTGTCAATGTTTCCATATCCAAGTGGACAGCTGCATTTAGGTATTACAATTGGGATTTGTTTTTTTTTTCGTTGAAAGATAATTGATCCATTATGATAATTTCATAAAAATCAGGCCATACTCGAATCTATACAACGGCAGATTTGCTTTTTAAAACCAGTTTTTTATGTGGCGAAAATGTTGTGAATCCTATGGGGTTTGATTCATTTGGATTACCAGCTGAAAATGCTGCTAGAATCAACAATCAGGATCCATTTGTTTGGACCAATTCGAATATGAAACAAATGAAAAGTCAACTAAAAAATCTTGGTTATCATTTTCATTGGCGTGAAAGTACATCGGATCCTTCGTATTATCGTTGGACACAATGGCTTTTTTTGGAACTATTCAAATCTGGCCTAGCATATCAAGGAATTAGTCAAGTAAATTGGGATCCAATCGATTGTACAGTATTGGCAGATGAACAAGTTGATTCCGATGGTAAAAGCTGGCGAAGTGGTGCTATTGTAGAGAAACGATTCCATAAACAATGGTTCATTAAAACGAATGCCTTTGCCGAAGATTTATATGCAGGTGATGATATTATCGATACTGGTCATTGGAGTTTTATTCTAGCTCATCAAAGATGGTGGATACAAAAACCAAATGGTTATTTATTCTATTTGACTATGAGCGAAAATGATAAATCCGGTTTGGATAATATTTTACAAATATTCACACCATATCCAGAATTATTTTGTACGCCGAAAGCTTTCATTGGAATTTCGAAACAACATTGGCTTTCATATGGTAAAAAACCTGGTGAAATTGTAGGACAAATTAGAAATCCTTTTCTTAAATCCAATGAAAAGATTGATATCAGATTGATTGATGATGAAAATTTTCCACCATCAACACAAGCAACATTGTTTACGGCAAGAGAAACGCATCCAGATGAAACAAAACGATCAGAAGTATTGAATCGAGCTAGTTCACTGGGACTTGGTGGATATTATACTTCACGTTCATATCGAGATTGGTTAATTTCACGTCAACGTTTCTGGGGAACACCGATTCCAATTGTTCATTGCAAGAATTGTGGTCCAGTTCCTGTTGATGATCAAGACTTGCCAATACAATTGCCTCACATTGATTATTCGAAAATATCCAGTTTTACAAGCACAGATATTTCTAGTCCATTGAAAAATTTTGCACCCAATGATTGGCTTAGTGTTGAATGTCCAAAATGTAAAACTGATGCGATACGTGAAACCGATACATGTGATACATTTTTTGATTCATCATGGTATTTTTTACGATATTTTACCAAACCTAGTGACCGAAAACCTTTTGATAAAATTCGTTTGAGACCTGTTGATTGTTATATCGGTGGCAAAGAACATTCAGCATTACATTTGTTCTATGCTCGTTTTATCACACATTTTCTTCAATCAAAAGGATATCTGGAATTTCGTGAACCATTTCATACGTTACTCATGCAGGCTATTGTAAAGGCACGTACATATAAATTGAATGGAAAATACATCACTGCAATGGAAGCTGAAGATCGAAAAGATGTGGAAGTTACGTTTGAAAAAATGTCCAAATCAAAAGGCACCGGAATTGATCCTGATTTACTGGTACAACAATACAGTTCGGATGCAGTCAGATGGACTATACTTTCGGTTGGAAATCCTGAATCCGAACGACTATGGGATAGTGAAGAGAAAGAATTTGGTCCAACTTTTGTATTCTTTCATCGAATACTATTGACCATTGAAGAATATTTGGCCGTCAAATGTGGTCAATTAAAAACCAAGCCATTGGATGCAGGAAAATATGATGAAATCATAAAAGATTTCAGTAAGCAAACTGATCATCATATTTTCAATGTTTTATATTCGATATGTTCAAGTTATCAAATTCGAAATGGTACATCAACGATACATAAATTGATCAATCTATTACGAGCCAATATTCGAAACGATATTGTCCATACAAAAGAATATGAACGTGCATTAGCATCATTGATCATAATGTTATCACCATTTGTACCATGTTTTGCTTCCGAATGTTGGCAAGCATTTACAAGTCAATTGAAAGCGAATGAATATTGCAAATCGTATGGATTCGATTATAGCAAAAATGTTGTCGAACAAAAATGGCCAAAAATAATTGATTCGAATTTTATGTACATTGTTCGTTTCACTTGTCGTAACGAGAATGGTCGTGAAGAAGAGAAAAAACGTATCAAAATACCATTGAAATTATTACAATCATGGTCTGTGAATGAAATTCGAAATTTATTCAAATCAATTGATGAACATATTGAATGGATTGAGATTGTGAAAAATTGTTCAATAGTAATACGATTGAAAAATCAATCCATTGATATACCACCGATTCGTGATGAGTTTGTTGATGCTTGATGATGTGATCCATTAATATTTTCGTTTTTGTGCACTAATGTAGAATACTTATGTAAACATTTACTAATTAGATATATTATTAATTAAAAATAATCAATAAAAAACCAACCATTATTACCACGTATGAATGCATCACCATATTTTTGTTTCAATTGTCCATTTACATATTCTTCAGTCTGTTCTAATGCTATATTTAAATAACCATCCAGACAAGCTAAAACGCCTGTAATAGAAACATCCATTAATGATGGTGATATAAATAAAATTCAAAAAAATAAATTACCACGATAATCGACTCCAGAATTCAGTTTGACAACCACTGGACGTCCAATGATTTGTTTGAGGAAATCATTTGGTGTTTGTTTTCGGCTACTCATTTTTTTTTGTATTTTGATCGAGGATTAATTATGCTGGAGGATCACAAATAAAAACGTGTTTACTTGGTTCATCATTAAAATACGTTACAAATCAAATTTCAATTCAAGATTCGCCTAAACAGGTGACCTATCTATCAAGTGAGCAGTTGGCTTAGTAAGTTGGGGGTGTGGCGCAGATGGTAGCGCGATCGCTTAGCAATGTACATATTAATTTTACATATGCATTGTACTAGTATGCGATAGGTAGCGGGATCGATACCCGTCACCTCCATCCATACAAACAGCCGACTATTTCTTTTTTATTCCACTCTCCAAAATCGGTCAGCTTTTTTTTTGAAGAAGAGGCACATGCAAAAAAATTGGCAATGCCGCTACCAATTTAGAGATTTTTCCGATTTGTACTTAAAAAATAAATCAACGAACTTGCAATCTATGAAAAATGGGATTTTTAAAAAGTTGTCGGTGTGGAAAAAATCAACAGATTTTTTAACAGTTTAAACATCATTTTTGCATTGTGTAATTCAGTGATTCTCAACCACTGTGCGCCAATGCAGTGTGCCGCAACAAAAAAAAGGTTGAAAATCACTGGTGTAATTGTTTAATCAGCTGTTTGTGGCTATAGTTGAAAAACATGCATGAATTAATCAATGAAAATGAAATCGTTCCATTTGATTTTAAGACGTCATCTGTCATCACAAAGCTGGATGCAACGACATGTTCGTGATACATTTGTAAAACAATCTCGTTATCAAAATTATCGTTCACGTGCAGCATTTAAATTGATTGAAATGAATAAACAATATCAATTATTGAAACCTGGAATGATTGTAATAGAATGTGGTGCAGCACCTGGATCATGGACACAAGTTATAGTCGAATGTTTAAAGCTTAAACCGCCTGAATGCCATAAAACCGGGGCGGTTATTGCTTTGGATAAAGCAGATTTCGCCACCATACCTGGTGCTATTTGTTTACCAAAAACCGATTTCACTAGCCACATAAGTCAAGCCAGAATTTTATCCGCATTAAATGATCGAAAAACTGATCTTATATTAAGTGATATGTCACCAAATGTTACTGGTCAACATGATTATGATCATGAACGTATTCTGCAATTGGTCTATTCAACAGTACGATTTGCATCTATTTCTCTCAAAGATCAGGGAAATTTTCTAACAAAAATTTTCAATGGAAATCAAACAGAAAAATTAATTGAAGATTTAAACCTGATATTTCAAAAAGTACAAAAAATTAAACCAGAAGCTAGCCGTATGGATTCGACTGAATTGTACATTTTGGCCACCGGATTTAAAGGTCGTGGATGATAACAAATGTTTCCGTATGTATGAATAAAAAACAATTTTATTGTGCAATTTTGAGCAACAAAAATAACGATGAATTTCCTATTACATTTCAATATTTTGTAAAAAGGAAAATTGAAAATTCCAATTTTAAATAAAAAAAAAAAAGACAAATCATTAGTACACAAGTTTTTGATCATATCACAAAATATTTGCTGCACAAATTCATTATTTGATGAATGTTTTGGATCCAAACACATACAAAGATTTGAATCGAAACTTTGGTTATTTACAATAAATTATAAATAAAAGGAGTACGCAATGAGGATTTGTATATGGTAACTGTCGAGTCTGAAGTGGCTATTGCAATTTTTGCCTAAAGAAAATGGTAAAAGAAAAAAATTTTTAAAAATGAATACTTTTTAAAGGATCGATATATGAAATAATTACTTTAAGCGGATGAAACGAAATATTCTGCACATATCGATTACGAGTTTTTAACGTCAATCCTTTGAATGTATCCCATGAAAAGTATTGAATTTCAGAATTTTCATAATCAAAGGCACTGGAAAAAAAAGAAATGATTTTGAAAATTGAAATTTTCAATTTAAAAAAAATTTGGTTATTATATTATATAAACATACCATGCAAACACATCAGTTAGATCATGAAACACCATCGAAGTGATTGGCTTTTTTGTACATTCAATACGAACTGCTTTGGTTGTAATACGTTTATCATACCAACAAATATCACCATTAGCATGTCCACTGACCATATTTATAGAATCTGAATGTGTTTGAAATTTCGCATTAATAACTGGTGTCATTTTTGATGTAAACGATAATACACGACCATCGTTTGACATGACACGATCATCGAATACACGAACAGCTCCATCTTCACAACCAACAGAAATAAAATGATTGGAATCAGCAGCAGTTTGTATTGACGTGACAACATCGCTTCCAGTGACAATATCCCGGATTTTACTTTCATGATTAGCATCCCAAATTCGAATGGTCTTGTTATCACCACCAGCTATGATTCTTTGTTTTTGGTCATCATAGGCCATTACAAATCGTTTTCGAGATTCCGTTCGCAACGGTAAATCTTCAAACATGAAAAAAGCCGATGATAATTTTGGCACAGATAATCGGTGACCATCAGATGATGATGATTCATATTCTTTCATGGATACTTCAGAAAATGTTAATGGAAATAAATTACGCCAAACACGAATAGCACTATCATCAGTGGCGACCAAAAGTAATGCTCTTCCATGAGTATTAATTATATGCAAATCGGTTATTTTGGCACTAGAAAGTTGATCATTTTTAAATGTTTGTACGTCATAGTAATCAGCGGCTACAACAGGGGCATTCGAATTTGAATAGTTCCAAAGTGAAAAATTATGATCATCGGCTGTAACTAGATATTTTTCAAATGGATGAAATTTCATTAAATGAGCCATCATTTTTTTCGTCTCTTTTCGTGGTTTATTCGTTGTGACAAGATCATCATGTAGAAGCTTGGTTTTAGCTTGACAATAATAATTTTGTATAATATTCATTCGCCATTCACTAATTTCATCATGATAATTGAGCTCCGTATTTGCACAGCAACAGATACCGGCAGGTGAACATGGTTGACTAAATTGTTTGGTGCACCAATCAACAAATGCTGTCGTTATTAGTGGTTTTCGACAAGCTTGATATTCGCTGATTGAATTATTTTGAGGAGATATCGATTCTTTACTCGAATTGGCTGGTATATTATTATTATCACATAATCCATTTGTAGAGGGAGCATATCTATGATCTTTCTTTTCATTCAACAACGAAGGATCTTTTCCAAAGATTTTTCTTTTCATTGTATATTGATTGATGAATAGTGCATGATTACTAGAATGAGGCAGATATGGACTGGTTAAACCGGATACAGATACACGACCAGAATGATGTTTCATTTGTTCATTGTTCATTGAAAGTGGCTTTTCAACATACTCCATTGAATTAGTTAATGGGGATTCATTTGAAAGATATTTCGAACGATTAGTAGGCGATGATGGTTCCGATGAATCAGAACAATTATCTTTGCTTGTGAATGCTTTTGAACTGATATCATTATAAATGATAGATGCTAAGCTTGCTACTTCTGGATATGGATCCATTCGATACAATTCAATCACATGCCATACCCTGTCGAAAATACTAGTCAATGATTGTGTCGAGGCGTTCAATGGGGAACTAAATGAATGTGAATGTTTCATTTGAACGCTATTTGGTGGTGTAATTTGAGTTATTAAAGAGTTAGTAAACTCATTGATTTTGTTCAATTTAGCTAATAATAAATAAAAAAAAAAGAAAAATTAATAATCTTCTCTAGTATGAAATGAATATATTTGTATACTCACCATCTGAATTGGTATTTTCTGGCACTGTTAATAGCTTTTGAGAAATTCTTTCACGTGACATTTGTCGAACATTAAACCCTGGATCACCTTTTAAATTGATGATGAAATCAGCTTCATGATTAAGACAAAGAAATTAATCAATTACATATATAAAGAACGGAAAAAATCCAACATACCTGCTGTGAAACTAATTGGAATGTTAACACTATTATTGTTGTGATTTACCGATAACATTGACTGATGAATTGATGAATCAAAAATTGCATCTTTTACAGAAAATTTATTCGGATCATGTTGACGAGCAATATGATCTTCGAAGGCTTTTTTACGAAAAATTGGTAGAAAATTATTTTCAAAAATCAATATAAACCAATGCAACGCCACCAACAATTCTTTTCGAACCAAAGGTGATGAATCATAATAGACTTTTTGTAATAATATGGACACAATATTTCGATCAATTTCATTTGCATGTTCATTACGTTGTGTAATGCTATTGATGAATGTACCTAAGGCAAAAACGGTAGAAGCTCGAACTTCAGGCACGGAATGATTAAGTGATGAATAGAGTTGTTCGTGCACAGCATTTCTAGTAGCCAGCCATCGATTGTCTTCATTATTTTCCCATACATTACCCAAACAAATTATCAGCCATTTCTTTAGATTCGGATGATCATATGTATCATCCATCAATAGATTGAGGGCAATATCAATTATCGATCCAAATTGACAATCAGAATTATTCTGTATAACAACTCGTTGTCCATTCGGATTATGGCGAATCATTACGGATAATATGAAAGCACTCATAACTTGATGATTGATTGATATGTTAGAATCGGTTAAAACTACCATAAAATATCGATGTGTTTTATCACGTATCAATTCATTCTGTGAACTTTCATCGATAGCTAATATTTTAGCCCATATAAACACTAGAAATGGTCGAAGCTCTCGAGCAGATGTTTGTAGCAATTTAAGTACATAGGGATAAATTCCAACCGATAAGGCCTATTAAAAATGTCGAAGAAAAATTAATGATAAATCATGAGAAACAAATTCAACTGATATTTACCAGATTTACTGCCCAGGAACCAAGATTTAAAAAATTACCCAGCAAATCAAGTGCACGACAACGATGAGCTTGACTAAGAAGAACTTGAAGTACGATTGGCAATTTTTCTGGCATCGTTCGTAAATGTGAATCTAATTTGAGCCATACTTGAAAAGCGGTCAATTGTTCAGCAAAAAATGGCGATGGTACATAAATTTGTGGATTAGTTTTGATTTCTTCATTTTTAAATAATTGTGATAAACAATGATCGACGGCAAAATCCCATGCTTCCCACATTGGATGTGAATGAGTAGATTTTATATATGGATTAGATACAGGTGTACAATCATAACAACGTAGTATACGTTGAGCGAGTAGAAAGTTTCGAAATAAACTGGCCACCAATGAATCCTGACGGAAAAGGCGTTGAAATTGTTCACGTGGCAAAGTGTTCCATGCAATAGTATCGGTAACGGCAGTGAAAATCCAATGTAATTCACCAAGAATCGATTTACGGTCATTTGTTTGGCCAGGAATTTTATCAATAAAATCTAATGTATATTCAGGCGTTAATTTTCGACCATTCTTTTTGAGAAACCATAGTAAATATGTCTTGATGGGAGTCGTAAGACAAGATGTAAAAACATCGGCTGGAAGATCTGGATGTAATTGCAGTATTTCACCTTTGCTACATGCAGCCAATAGTATACAATTTTGATAATTTGGAACCGGTGGTGGTCGCATGCTGCCATTGACCAGATCAACATCTTTTGTAGTCAGAAAAGCTCCAGAATTTATATTCATTTCATATTCTTTTTGATGTTGTATGGCGGATTGTTGAAATATCTCGAGAATTATACCGGCATTTGAACAATCAAATACATAGATTGATGGCGAACCCATCCATTGTTGAAGATCATACAATGACAAAGGTATATACTGGGTATAGTTACGATTGAATACCCATATTTCGCCATTAAGTGTTGGTTTCGGAACACCATGTCCATTATAATGAAATAAAACACGTTCTTCTTTCGAATTTTTACGCAATGATGTGCATAATTTTTTTACATCTTCAATAGTTGGATCAATCAAATGTTTATAACGTGGACGTGAATTCAATCGTTCATATTGTTTCATTAGATTATTAGCTATTGTATCGGAAGCTTTACTAGCAGCTGATGCAAATGGATCGGTCCATGATTGTAAAACTGCATGTGGAATTGGTTTGATTATATCCGGTGGATCAATACCGATATTCAAACAAAGAACAATACCAACGCTTACGGTTTTCATCTGAAACAATGATAAAATTGATGAAATTAAAAAAAAATTAGATTTTTAATACAGTAATACCACGCTTAACGCGGGGTTAGGTTCCAAAAATTTTGAGCCGAAAGAGAAACAGCGCTAAGCGGGGTATTACTGTATTCAAAAAAATTAAATAAAAAAAAAATACATACACGTTCTTTAGAACGCCAATTCTGATTTATATGATCATCATGGCCTTTAATTTCATCCAAATGTCTTGGATCAATGAAAACATCACGATAATCATCACCAAATTGATTATGAATACATGAACCACTACTATCAGATGAAATGGTTAATTTATCTGTAGTAGTACAACAACCACCACCACCATCAGATGTTATTGTTGTAGAGATACTATGACGCAATTTTTGTTGTTGTCGATGATGGTGATGATTCGTGTTATTATTATTGATAAGATTATTATTATTATTATTATTATTATTCATCATTGAAATCATCATCATCGTCGTCGTCTTAGATATTGATGATTCGCCAACATGTTGATGAAATTTTTTTCTTTCACGGCCAACGAATAAACTCATAAGAATGAAGATTTTTAATTTTAAAATGGAAAATTTTCATGCATATATAAATAAAAACTGCTGAAATGAGAACAAAAAAAAAATTGATTCTGAAAAGAGAATAAAATGAAAAATTGTACGATACACACACACACACACACAGAAAAATTTTATTTTCTATCAATCAATCGATTGATTTGTTGGCAAATTTTACAATAGAGAACAAAAAAAAAACGATTTTTAATGATAAGCAAAATTTGTATAAAAAAAAATTTACCAATTAATTATATATATGTTGATGATGATTATGATACAACAACAACAACAAAGAAAAAATCTCAAAAATTTTTTATTTTTATCCAACTAAAAAAAAAAATCCACATAATAAATTTTTATAAACAAAAATTTTTTTCGACTTTGCTTTTGGTGATGAACGACACTATCGATTAACATGCTGGATTGTTTATTTTTGTGGCACATCATGTGCCATGCATTCACATGATGCATGTGTGAAACATTTTTTTTTTGTTTTTGCGCGTGAATTCTTTTTTTTGTTTTGTTCATTTACAATTGATGATGGATGTCGCATGAATTCGTAAAAAAAGGCTCGAATTTCATAATTATATACAAACGTGGTTCTGTTTTTATTGAGAGTTTGCCAATCAATTGATTGAAAATGTAATTCTACCACTCGTTTTTAGGGTTTTACATTGATGAATTTTAGCTTCAAATTTTCGTGATAATTCCAAACCAAATTTTGTTGCACGCTATTTTAGGGGAATAATAAAAAATTATATTACGTTATATTATGCCAGTGTTTTTTTTTATAGGAAAAAAATTTTCATACTTCAAATAGTAATGGCAATGAATCAGTACTTATTGATCCATGGCGAATTTTTTTCATTAAAATAATTTGATCAGGTGGAACAAAAGCCACGGAAATGGTTCCGACACTTGCTTGTTCCTCTTCCCAGGTAGCATCGACAACAAATTTTGAACCAATTTTTGTATAACTTGTCACCAATGGTACACGGCTAGCATCCAATGGAATTGATTCAAATTCATCTTCGGAAACGGTGAATTCATTCTGATCAATACTTAGAATGTTGATTTTAGGAATCCTTAATAATTTAGTTTGATCAAAGAAAAAAAAATTATGAGAAAAAGGAAAGCTTTAATAAAAACAAATTCATACCGAACATCGTTCAAGGCAGTTTTGATGGCAATTGAGGTAATATCAATCAATGATGATAATGATGAACATTCAAGAATGACAATATCGATATGTAAAACAAAATATGATCGGTTCGGTACAATAATTAACTTTTCTAGATCAATAAAATCTGGTAGAAATTCGGAAAACAATGCTTCAATCTGACAGGTGATATCTTCACCTTTTCTTCCTTCAAATGCAGGTGATGCAATGGCAGAAATATCGGCAAAAACCTGGACACGTCCTTTTGTTCCATTCTGAGCTTGATGTTTATCATCATCATCACCATCATTGCTATTGACGATCTCTTCTAATTCAAGTTTGATTCCAACCAAAACATCAGTGTTTCCAGATCGTGCATGTGCTGAACCGCTACAAGTTTCAATAACATTCTGTTCAATCATTACCATACGATGATCATCACATGATCGGCCATCCGAACGAATATTCAAATCAACACCATTTATAATGAATAAACGTTCACCTTCACTAATTTTATTTATAATATTCATCACAGACATTATTTTCAAATTTAACAAAATCAATTTAAAAAAAAACACACGATATAGACGCTCAAAAAAAATATAAATATCGATACCAGCAAGTATCGATTGTTTTGAATCATAAATCATAATCTTGGCGCCAAACAATTTCATTTTGCTAATTTTTTTATTTTGTCGTCATCATGATTGATAATGATGGATGAATGATTCATATATGAATGAAACATAATCCTGAATAATTGTTTTTGTCTTGAAAACATTCATTTCATTTATGATTAAATTTATTTGTATACAACACGAATCCACGATATAATCCCCATGAGATTCAATTATTAATGAAAAAACAAAACAGAAATGCCTAATTAATCAACAAAATTGATTGCTCATTTTTACATTATAGTAATGGCAAACTTTTTTTCCATCTCTCTTCAAACTAATTGCATGTCAACATTGACCTTTAATTTTTTTAAAGGTCAACGGAAGATTATTATTGAAGAGAAAAAATAAATTTTCGAATAAATTCAAACAATCAACGAGAGGAAAAAATGAAAAACAAAAATGACTAAAATGAAATGTCGATATTGTCTCAGCATTCGATGACATTGTTGGAATCGATTTAATAATTTTTTGTTTCTCTCAATTTCTCTCGATAAAAAAAAAAAAAAGAATTCAAACACGACAACAGCCGTCGTATCGATAATTTTTTGAGAAAACAAAAACAAAAAGAGAATTCTATCCAATATATAGAATGGCCATTGATAGTGGCAAATTCAAATGGCAAACAAAAAACACACATTGATGATTATTCGAAGTAACTGAAACATCATCCAGTTTTCTATATATAGAAAAGAAACTACGACTATCAAATTTATGAAAAATACCTCTATATCATAAACACAAAAAAGAATCGATGTGTGTGTGTCTATGGATCACATATCAAATTTGAAAGCGAAAATGAAAAAACAACAACAACAACGACAGAGAAAATTCAAAACCATTGCCATTTTCTTCATGGCTTTTCAAATGGAATGAATGAATGAATTGTAGAAGATTTTTGCAATATTGCAATTTATGTGTGTGTGTGTGTGGTGGGTTCCAGTTTGACAACGAATATTACGAGGTTATGCTCGTTTTTTGTTGTTGTTGTTGTTGTTATTGGAATACTTGTTCTGTGTGTGTGTGCTATATATGAAAATTTATACATTGCCCCAGCAGCTGAATGTTGTGGCTCACAATGTTTTTCCGCTGTTTTCGTTGTTGTTGTTGTTGTTGTTCAGTTTTTAGTTTTATCTTTCTCCTTTTAAAAATGTGATAGGTTTTTTTTGTGTGTATTTAGACAGTGTGTTGTTGTTATATACACAATACAGAACATTCGATTTATATATACTCTCATATAATCATCATCATAATACCAAACTTTGGGTTTATGGTCCTATTTTTTTTTTTTTTATTTGTTATCTGATATAGCAGATATTTATCACAAGCTTCTGTTACTTCTTTCAAGTTGATTCGTTGAAGTAATCTTTAAGTTTTTATGTATGTGTGTGTGCGTATTGTTTCATAATTTTTTTTATTTTTTTTTCTCTTAAAACGAAATTCATAAAAATGTCTAAAAGATCTAATAAAGTGAAATATGCACTGAAGATAGAAATTTAAAATCAAATCCTGTACTTTGTGGCTGTTGCCGTTGTTTGATGTTTATTCCATCAATTTGATGTGTGTGTGTGTGTGTGTATCATTTTGAACTGGGAACTGGGAACCATAGACCCCCATTTCATAAGCCGGATGATTCTTAATTTTTTTTTTCGTTTTACTACGTCGTCGTCGTAGTCGTCATCGTCTTTGTGATCGTTATCAAAATTGAAAGAATTTTCTTCATTCATTCATTCATTCACTCACTCACAACACATGAAGCCGTATATCATACAAAAAAAAAGTGCACTCTATTGATCTCTATATGGTTCGGTGTGAAAAAAACAAGATTAAAAGAATTTTATGAACTTTTATATATGCATAATAAAACATTCAGAAAAACAAAATCAGTGATAATCATCAAAATTCGATTCAATTTTTATTTTGGCAACACGATTTTTTTATTGTCATTATTTTTCTGGTTCTAGTTCAAGTGCCATTCGAATTTCACATCACTCAATCAAACTTACCTTCACTTTCTCTCATTTATTTTTTTTTTTTTTGATATTCACAAGCAAACGTGTGATTGTTGTCATGATCATATCACATGATCATTTTAGGTGCTAAAAAAAACTGTCTCCAATTTCGCATTTTTTTTTCTTGGTTTTCAAAAGTGATTAAATCACCGATAATTTTTGTGCTTGTTTGTGCATGATAATCGACTAGTCATCATTTATAGAATAACATTTTTTTTCAAATTTAAATATTTCTTAAAAACACATTGAACATAATGGTTCAACAATATAAAGCACCCGTACGGGTTTTCAAATATCCATTCGAATTAGTCATGGCGGTAAGTGTGTGTCTGTGTATGACATTTTCATGTTATGTAATGATTTTATTCACACCCTTTTTCATTTCCTTGTTGTCATTTATGTAATAATTTGGCATTTTTTTTTGTTCATTTTGACACCTACTTAATTTCGAACAATTTCGTGACTTGAAATATTTTTGCGTGCCAATTTTTATCATAATCATCAGATATAGCTAATTTTTCATCGAATAAATCAAAAAAAAAAAAATTCAATTCGATCTATTTCTATATCTAACACATTCTATATTTCCACTTAGTTCTGATTAATTTTGTTTTTCTATTTTTTCGAATATTTCATTTTTTTTCCAGGCATATGAAAAACGATTTCCAACATGTCATCTTATACCAGTATTTGTTGGTAGTGATAAAATCTATGATAATATTAGCGACGATGGTTCTATTCATGTGATTGAACGTCGTTGTCGTATTAGCGTTGATGCACCATATCTTCTTCGTAAGGTGAGTATTGATTTAGTATATCGTATATATGTTTATTTTTCCTGATTGATTGATCGATTATTGTAGATTACTGGAGTGGATCATGTTCTATTCATACAAAGAAATACACTGAATCGACGAAAACGTATGCTGAAAATAGAAGCAAAAAATGAAAGCTTCAGCAATCATATTAATATTCATGAATTATGTTATTATCGGGTAAGCGTCAATCGAACATTATTATGATCAAATTTATGATAATTATTTGATTCACCCACGCCCTCCAATTATTGATCATCATCATGTATGAATGTAATCAGGTTTCACCCGAAAATGAAGATTGGACCATATTCGAACAACAAGCCAGTCTGGAAATCAAATCATTTTGGGGTTTCGAACATGTTGTTGAACGATTAGCTGTTAAACATTATTCACAAAATATTAAAAAAGGTCAAGAAATTATTGAATATCATATCAATGAATTGGCTCAAGAAGGTATTACCAGCATGCCTCGTTATGAATCAAGCTCAAATCCAAATGAAAATTCCGATGATAATGATAATGATGAGGATTCCGATAAATTTAGTGATTCCTTATTCAATAATGGTGGCAGCAATCATATTGAACACCAACATCAACAACAATCTGCTAATAATAAAAATCATAACGGTATGATTATTTCACATAGTCAAGATTCAGTTCGAAGTCCAATATCGTCAAATATCGACGATACAATCACGTCCAATAATCATAAACGTTCCACGAAAAATTCCAAATTTGATTGTATTCGTTCCAATTCGGTGGAAGAAAAAATCCAAGCCACTAAACAGAAAATATTGAACAAATGTGAAAGTCTTAAGAAAAAAAGTTCATTCGAAAATAATAATGGCACAGCAGTGGCGGCGGTAGTCAAGACTAGTAATAATAACAGTAACAATAATGCCGTATCACTAAGTTGATGATATCATCAATATATCGATTTTCGTTGAGATTCCTTGAAGACAAACAAAACAAAACAAAAAAATTTCTTTTGTGCTCCTTACACACAACCATGTCGAAATAGAATCGAATTTATTTGAAATTCGAATCGATTTTTCTTCTATGTATCTTGTCTGTGTTATCAACTAATTATTATTATTATTATTATTATCCAAAAGCAGAAAAGTCAAAGAAATTATCATCATCGAATTCACTAATTTGTTTATCATTTGTATCAAAAAAAAAAATATGCCTACTCCGTCATTATCATCATCATCATAATTCAAATCGGAAATTTGTTATTATTTATAATTATCAATTATTTTTGTATATGTAAAACTTTCTTGTAATCTTCATTCATTCATTCATCAACAATAACATTTATAAGTATTCGTCGTTCGTTTTTTTTTTCTGTAACAAATTTTCTTCATGTTAGATGCAATCATCATCATCATCATCATTATATTCTATATATCATCAGTATGACAAACAAATGACAAAATATTAATGTACCTTGAAAAGTATTCAAATCGATTCTGCAAATGTATTTTTTCTCATCACCATCGTACACGATTGTACAAACAAAAGAATTTGTTTTGTTTTTGATGTAATTTTATTATTTTGTATCACGTACAAAATTGTTGTTAGTAAGATCAAACAAACACACACACACACACATGCATGTCTAAATAGCAGAATGAAAAAAAGACCTAATTCGTATTTTTTAACAAATTGTGGATAGAATTTTTTTTTGTCATAAAAAAATTTTAATAATGAAATTATCCATTGTGATTGGGTGCTCGAAATACTTTGGATTCTTTCTCTCTTTCTTTTTCTCTTACTTATCAACTACACTTTTGTTGTTACACTACTTGTACAAATACTGAATAATATTTTGAAATTTCTAATTTGAATAATAAACAAAAAATTAATTAACTTGATTACCGCGAATTTTTAGTGAATAAAGGAATTTTTTATTTAAATTCAAACAAATGACGCCATCTTTTGTCTGGTTTTATTATTACAAAATGGTATGATTACATTTTTTTCCGCCATTTTATACGCGTGCACGCTTCAATGTTAAAAAAAAAAAAAAAAAAGCTATCAATTCAAATTCGAAAACATATGATCCACCAATGACCAGAAAAAAATGATTGGCCAAAAATTGACAAATTTTTCTCCTTTCCCGAATGTTGTTTCTTCATCGATGAATAATAATAAGATTCAAAATTTTTACGAAGAATTTCATATTGATTTGAAACAAGCAACAGAAAAAACGATAAATTCTGTACAATTTTGTCCATTCGATGGTGCAACAGATATATTGGCATGTTGTGTACGTGAACGGATTTTTATTTATCGAATTTCATTGATCCAAACCATTAGTGGTAATGATGATAAATCAGGCGATGGAACTGAATTTGATTATCAATTCATTTACAACTATATTTGTGGTTCGAAATGTTCATCTCTGGTTTTTGGACCTAAAACCGATTTCTCACAACAAGCTCAACATGGTTTTTTAAGTTTAGCAATAGCAACTGAAGATTTTGGCATTTTACTATTAAATCAAACCATTCAATATGATGATGATAGCCAGAATAATGATGCTGAACAACAATTTTTCGCTGGTCACATTAATCACATCAATGATATGGCATTTGAACCAATTTCTGGTGAACAATTAGCATCAACTGGTGATGATTGTCTGTGTATAATTCGTTCATTACGTAATGAACAATCAATGGATGGTAAAAATGTTGCTGCTAAAATAATGCTTTCATCGCCTGGTGTTAGTGTTAAATGGCATCGAACTGAACCGAATAAAGTGAGTTTGATATAATGTGATTGTTTTGTAGATTTATTCAAATTTTTTTTTCATTCTTTTAGCTATTAGTTGCTGAAAAGAAAGGAATGATTCGTTTTTATGATACAATAACACATGTTGCTGTCATGTCATTTGATTGTAATTGTTATCCATTGACATCAAGTGATTGGTGTTCGGAGAATAATCTATTCATTGGCTGTGCATCGGATCGTAATTTGTTTTTCTGGGACACATCATTAACAAGTTTACCGATTAAAATATTGAAAACCGATTTCGAAGGATTATCAGAATTTTCATTCTACGATAGTAAATTGATTGCATACCGGGCACGACCATATAGTTTTTTAACTGTAAAAAATTTTATTACAAATCAAGTAATTTATCAATGATCATGTGAATTTATTAATTTGATTGAAATTGATTTCATTTTCTTTTTTTTCTGTAGACATTTATCGAACGAAATTTGATCGCTGGTCGTGGTATTAGCTGGAATCGTTCGATGCCATTATTAGCCGTTGGTGGACCTAAATACGTTCATCTTTTTAAATTTAATGTTTTTTAATAAAACGAACAATTTACCATTGAACTTGATAAATTTGATGAATCCAAATGACATTCGTTGATAAAATCAAAATCATATTGCATACATTCAATACGACGGATTCGTTGCCATTCTCTTAGTAGATCTAGATGATTTTCTTCCGCCGTACAAATTGGATATAAACGTCGGCTGACATTTTTGAATGATTTGGATTTTTTTACAATTTTCAACATTTCCACTCTTGAAATTTTTTGCTCCAAATTGATCATTTTCGATATTTGAACAAGATTCTGTTCTTATCTTTGATTTTTATACATCTCCATCATTTTCATGAGATCTGTACCGATTGGGACATTTGAATATCTATGGTTTATGAGCATGTGTGTGTGTGTGTGTGTGGCCTGGCAACTAAAATTCCACCTGTACTAGCCGTAATTACAAGGTATACAGCATAAAATCGATTTGTTAATATGGTACAGTTGCAACGTATTGATTATCAATGTTCGATCATCTATAGTACACTAATGTACCCGCTACAAATGACACCGTTTTCTCTCCATCCCATTTTCTTCATAATTCACGATTTTCATATGAGAAAAAAAAAAAAATTCTCACGAAAATATTCCACCATCTCAAATCATCATCATCATCATCGAAAAAATTTTCGATTTCTTATCCATAGAGTTTTTTTGAGTTTGCGTCAAAGAAAAACCACAAATCTGAACATTTTTTTTTTGAAATGCCATCAGGATGTCCAAAACAAATGAATGAATGAATGAATGAATGACGCGAACAAACAGAAAAAAAACTGAATTTAACCTCCAAATGATGAAGTGATTTTACTGCTCAACTCCATTTATATATGTGCATTATTAATTGATTTAAAAGGAGACATCACAAGTTGAACCAGTTCGAAATTGATGTCTGTTCATGATTAAGAAAAAAATTTCAAATCTTTATCTAAAATTTAATCAACAAAAAAAAATTTTCAATGTACTAATCTGGTGGCTGCAAACAGAAATAAAAAAAAAATGATCAAATCATGTAAAGGAAAACCAACTGAAGAATAATAACTGTATATGAAATGAAATGAATGACGAGTACACCATGAGCGACTTTGAGGAAATGTTTTTTTTCGAATTTTTTTTTTTTGCCGATTGATTAAAACGACAAGAGTATTACGCATTCAGATTTAAATGTTCGTTATTATTATTATTATTTCTAATCAATCAAATAGGTGGTCATATCATCTTGTTCGACACTTCATACTGTTTGGTGATTTGAAAACATAACCACAGCCACAAATTTTCATGAGTACAACTACTCATTACATTCGATTTGATTTTCAACCATATCACCGTTTATTGTAAAATTTGGACCAAAAATAATCATTGACATTGTGGTGATATCGCCATATTGACATATTCAATTTATTTATTTTTTATTCGTCATCATCTTCATCTTCTACATCATCATCATCATCATCATCGTTACTCTGAATGATGTCGAATATTACGAAACCAAAAGAAGTGATATTATCACGATGGTATTTTGGTGGTCTAGCATCGGCCGGTGCCGCTTGTTGTACACATCCATTGGATTTAATCAAAGTTCATTTCCAGACTGCTTCAACGAATATAACGGCCGGACAACGGCCAACAATGATGTCAACAACGGTTAGAATAGTGAAAACTGAAGGTTTATTAGCTTTATATAATGGACTGACTGCATCATTACTTCGACAATTGACCTATTCGACAACACGTTTTGGCATATATGAAGTGGCTAAACAACAAATTTCACCTGATGGATCACCAATCCCGTTATACCAAAGAATATTTTTGGCCGGAATTTCTGGTGCTGCTGGTGGTCTTGTTGGTAATTATTGATTCATTGTAAATTTAATCAACGCTGTAATGAATAAATTCCTCTTCATTTAATAGGGACACCAGCCGATATGATAAATGTTCGTATGCAAAACGATATTAAAATGCCTGCCAAAGATCGACGAAATTATAGAAATGCCATCGATGGTCTCATTAAAGTTTATCGAAACGAAGGTGCCATGACATTATTCAATGGAGCTTCAATGGCAACATCTCGTGCAATCATGATGTCCATTGGACAGGTATTTAATATAAATAGTTTTCTGGAGCGTTTTTTTCAAAACAATTTTTGAATTGAATTTCAGCTTTCAATGTATGATCAATTCAAATATTTATTACTCAAATATTTCCCATCAATTTTCGAGGATAATGTTACCACTCATCTATCAGCAAGTACATTGACCGGTGCCGTGGCTACATCATTAACACAGCCAGTAAGTTTTATTGAATTTAATTGTTCATGAACGATTTTATTTATATTGAACTTAACATAGCTCGATGTACTAAAAACTCGTATGATGAATTCGGCAAAAAATCAGTACCGCAGTGTTGGCCATTGTATAACGGAATTGTATAAAGAATCGGGAATTTTTGGATTTTTCAAAGGTTATGTTCCAGCATTCATACGATTAGCGCCGCATACAATTTTGACATTTGTATTTCTGGAACAATTACGACTGAATTTCGGTGTCCATATGTTTGTCGAAGACAAAAAACATTAATGCCATATAATGACAATCATCAATTTGTTTTCCGTAGTTTGTTTTTGTTTATTTTTTTTTGAAAAAGTTTTATTTTATTGTTGATAAATTGATAATGCAATAAGAAATTTAGATGTAATTTATTATGATTTTAGGAATTTAATTTACAAAAAATACAAATATAATGGAGTTTTATGTATCATTTTGAGTTGAATATTATCATCATCCAATCAACCAGAACAACCACGACAACCACAATGAATACATTCGACAATTTTACGACCTTCTTCCAATTTATCTCGTGGTACACGACAAATACAATTGGTGCCGAAATTCGTATCACGAACTTGAATACAACGAAGACAGCATAAATTTTCATAGCCTTGTTTTTTCCATTTAGCTATCAATGCTGCATCGGCAATACGATTCTTTATGCAATATTCATATAGCTCTTTTGATATTGATTGACGTTTATAATAAAGTTCATAAATATAACGAGATTTTTGATGATGTATCTTGAATATTGGCCATAATGATTCCGTACGTCGTTTACCTTCATGTGATTCGGATTCAGCTTCACGCATTTTTGCTTCCAATTCTTCAATAGTCGGTTCAATTAGATCCCATCCTTCTGGTGGTTGACGATTACGATTTCGTACAGTACGAATTTTTGGCATTATTATCCAAATGATTGATTGATTGAAAATATATCAAAAAGTAAATAAGACAAAAAAAAAATTCAATCACAACAAATCCAAACGACGTAATGATGAAACCTATAGAGCAAATAGACAAATTGAGAGAGAGAAATGTTCTCGATAAGACCTTTATAAATAAAAAATCTTCCTTGGAAACAATTATATTGTTTGTGCAAAAAAGAAGTGAGAAAATCAAATTCTTACAATTTCGTTTATTTTATGAAAAATCTTCGATCAAATGTTTAGCAAATAGAAAAAATTGATCCACAAAGCATTAATCAAAACTTGAAAATCGACAAAAATTGAATGAGCGACAGTGTTTGCCGTGAACATTAACCGACTGTGGTAACTGGGTGAGTCTTGTTGAGTCAATTGAGCCAGAGAGATAAATATTTGTTTCGAATGAAAAAAAAACATTGAAAATCGTAAAAATGTCTCCACTATCAATAATCATTTGACATAATATTCAATTTACCAGCGTGAATGATAATAACAGATGTTTATTTTTATCATTATTTATTAAAAAACATTGAATTATTCTAGTTACGTATTATATGAACGGTTTGATGAGGGTGCACAAAGTCGCGCAACACAAACTCACACTCACACAAACACACATTTTCTATCTACTCACATAAAAAAGGACCATAGACTTGATCGCGTGTGTGAGAATATATTTAATATATATATTCAGTGGCAGCCATTAATTTTTACCCTATTCTGTAAAGCTCTATGTTATGTGTGTGTATGTCAGTGTGTGTGTGTGTGGTGTTGTGTTTTGATGTTCACAATATCTTGTATTTCTTATGTTTGGCGCCTTTTACTGTTACCGAAACAACACAGAACAGTGTAAAAATTTTGAATTTTAATTTCTCCACACATCAGTATCATCAACATTGACATTATCTCATTTATTTGAATTTTTCTTTTTTGTTTTTCTATTTCATTCAACCAATATAGTATCATCGACTTTGATTCGGATTTGGGTCCCCACTGTTTGTGTTTGCACTGTTGTCCATACTGATTAATTAAAAATTTAAATTTTATTGATTGATTGATAAATTCCGATCATCATTATATAATTCGTCATGCGTAAATCTCGCCCCCGAAAACGTGGCCGCCCACCAAAAAATCAATCAAATAATAATAATAAATATTTGAATACAAAAATCAATAAAGTGATTATCGATGATGATGATGATGAGGATTCGAATCATAGTTCATCCACTACAAATACATCAAGATCATCGGGTACGAATAATAAATATCAGACACGTTCCACACGGCGATCATCAACACGTTCAAGTAGTACTGTGGTAGAATTAACGAAAAAACGTGGCCGAAAACGTAAAAAAACCGAAAGTGAAGATGAATTATGTGATGATGAATATTATTATGATGAACCGGCAACACAAAGTGATGAAGATGTTGATGATTCGGATAAAGATAATGATGATGATGATGATGATGATGTTGACGTTGACGACGATAAGGATGATGAAAATGAAATAGATGAATTCGAAGAAGAAGAAGAATTAGAAGAAGAAAGTGAAGAAGAAGAAGGAACCGAACAAACCGGTAAACGTCGTGGAAGACCACCACGTGAAAAAGCACCAGTTTATCTTGATGATCAAGAAGTACCAGAATTATCATTGCCATCATCATCGGAAGATTTACTCATCACCGGCAATGAATTGATTCGTACACTAAGTATTTATGAAATTTTACGACATTTTTCAAATACTCTACGATTATCACCTTTTCGTTTTGAAGATTTTTGTATCTCACTTTTGATTGATGAACAAACTTATTTATTATCCGAAATTCATATTCAATTATTGAAAGCTTTGATTCGTGAAGATGATTTGATTGGTACACAGCATGGACCGCAGGATATTCGAGATTCTATTAATGTTTATCTTCATCTTTGCGATCATGTTACATGGCCAGAAGTGCTTAAAATTTATCTTTCATCTGATTATAAGAAAAATAAGCCAATTATGGATCAATCATTGATGAATGATACGTATCCATTCACTAGTGTAGATAAAAAGCTAATACTTCTCCAACATTTATGTGATGATTTTCTCAACACACAAGTCGTCAGAGATGCCATCAATTCTGAAGGAAAACTTGATCATGATGAACATTGTCGTTCGTGCCACAAAAATGGTGAAATGTTAATGTGTGATTCATGCCCGGCAGTATTTCATTTATCCTGTTTGGATCCACCATTGAAACAAGTTCCCGAACAAGAATGGTTTTGTCCGATTTGTAAACAAAATCAAGTGATGGGCGTTACCGATTGTGTGAATGAATATGAACGCCAAATGCCACGACAAGAACCGATTGGTTGGGATCGTCATGGACGACAATATTGGTTTCTTGCTCGTCGTATCATTGTTGAAGATACTAAATCCGATAAAGTTTGGTATTACACAACGCGGTTACAATTTGATGAACTACTTGAATGTATTGATGATGAAATGTATGAATCAGATCTATGTAAAACGTTGTCCGAATTACATGATGATATCTATAAACAAATGGGTATTACTGAAAAGCTTACGAAAATAGCCAAAGGTTCTCGAAAAAGCTATCTTGAAGTAGTGAATGAAGAATTGTATTTAAAACGATCTTCAAAAATAAAATCCAATTCAACAGATGATCAATCAGTAATTGGTGAGAAAATAGCTGAATTAGAAACAAAATTAGCCGTTGATGAAGAAGATTTAAGAGGTGCTGGTGGTGGTGGTGGTGGTGGTATGCAAACACGGCTAAAAACTGGTACTTTACCACAAAAATCATTTACAATGACAACGAATTATTTACGAAATCAAACCAGCCTGTATAATACGATTCAAGCATTCCGTGATGAAGAAACTGTTATTGTTGTGGCAGATAATGAAAAAACTTTAACACGTACTCAACGGCGAGCATTACCAGCAACATATTTTGAAGTGAATCTGTTCAATCTTGGTTTCGAAGGAAATTATCGTAATTATCAGAATATTTATAGCTTAATACCGATGGCATTGAGCCGAAATCAGGTTCAAGATGATCGTGATCGTCGAAGACATTTAAGTCATAAATTTAGTTTAACACCAATGTCTGATTTAAAATGGGCTTCATATAATCAAGTTATAACAGCGGCTCCAGTTACAACGGCACATGGACCTAAACCAATGTTGATCAACACATTACGGCAAGCTTTATTGCAATTTGAATTGAATTTTCCGAATCCATTGATGCATTCGAATTGGAAACGTCATCGTGATAATTGGATTAAAGCAGTAAAAATTTGTTCAGAACCCAGAGAATTTGGTTTAGCTTTGTATATTCTGGAATCATCGATGAAACCAGTGTTATTCAACAATGCCTGGAATGATTTATTGGGCTTTACTGTTCTTCAACGTACCACTCAATTAGAACGTGATGAATTGAAAAAGAAAGAAAAGAAAAGTGGTCGTTCTGCTGCTGCCGCTGCTTCGGCTATGGCAATAGAAGTTGCTGAATTAATGTCCAGTATGTTGGATCCAAATGATTCATCGACGGCTTCGAAATACAATCCATTAGGTGGTGGTGCCGGAGTCAAATTAGTCAATGGAAAATTACGTCATCAAATATGGAAACAAAAAGGTGAAGAATATCGTCTATCAGGTGTTGGTGGTTGGTTTTGGCTCACTAGTATACGAAATCCATATAAAGTGGTCAAATGTGATTTAGAGAAAAATTTATCACTAACACCTAATGTTGATGACGATGTTGTGATGAAAGAAAGTGAAAGTGACGACAACAACAATAATCAAAATGAAGAAATAAAAACTGAAAAAATTGATGAAAATTCCACCATGAAAACTGATGATGATGATGATGATGGAAATGATGAAAATTTTATCGTAAAAATTTCCGAATTTCTAACAGAGAAAACATCGAAAAAACGAAAATTTTATTATCCAAAAATTTTTCAAGAATCAAAATTAGACAAACTTTTATCCTGTCGTATGAATCAATTGACATTTGAACGTAAACAGAAAAAAGAAAATGATGATGTTGATGATGAGAAGAAAAATGATGTTTTGATTAAACCGTTGAAATCAACACAACCACCGGTATCGATAACGAGTTGTTGTTATTCAATCAGCTGTGATTCAAATTCATCTACGGTGCTTCCTTCTTCTTGTTCATCACCTGTTGAAAATGGTCATCATAATTGTTATTCACCACTTTGTTCTTATTTAGCTAAAAATCAAAATCTTATCAATGGAAATTGTTGTTCATCAATTAAAAAAGAAGAAATGATTTTCAAAGATCTTACCGAATCAGTTGAATTGCAGAAAATTATCACTGTGGATGATGTGGAACAATTTGCAAAAAAAGTCGTTTCATTCACTAGTAAAGCACAGCTGCCACCAAGTACACGTTTTACGAATGGAAAATTTAAATCAATTTTCATACCATTGGATTATGAACTTCGTCAATTGGGAAGAACTGGTGGTCAATATGAAATTTCCGGTTTCAATTATAATGCCAAGATTAATCCATCAATATGGCCATATGGTTTAACACCACGGCCATCATTTCGAATCACTTGGCTTTTTCGTGTATATAATCTACCAACATTGCATTGTGTTGCATTGCAGCTACGTGTATTATGGGCATCAGTTCGTTGGGATGATTTAGCACAGAAACCACCGATTTCTGGTACAAACACCATAACCACTGATGTTGATGTACAAACCATTGAAATTCTCAAACGAAGAGATATGCCACCATTTGGTTTACGTTCTGAATATCATATCAGGAAAATTACCGTGCCAATCGATGTGCCTATTTATCGTTCACGTGAAATTCCAACACCAAATCGTAGTGGATTACGTGAACGGCGACGGCCTGAATCACCGCAGAATAGAGGTCCACGAATGGATGAAAATTGGGTTCGCGAAGAAGAATTAGAAATATGGGAAATTAAACAATTCAATGATAAACAGATTCATTTAGCACGACAGAAAGCTATTCAAGAACAGCGTCAAAAAGAATTGGAAATGAAAAGAAAATTACAAGAGACCGGTAGTGTTCATAATAAAACATCAATCGATACGGTCCGATTTGTTAATGGTGGCAATATTAATTTGCACCCCAACACAGCAACATCGTTTGGCAAAACACTTACGGCAAAATTCTCGACTTTAATCACAAATCGTGTGTCACCAAAATGTTCCAATACATCATCCAATTCATCAACTCAATCTACCACTCATCATCCTACTATTGCTACATTGAATACATCGTTACCATATGGATCAACGATTCATACATCGAATGGTCAAGCAATTCGTTTACAAACAACCAACGTGACTAAACCATCGTCATCACAGCTTTTTATTCGTGATGGAAATAATTTCCAATTACTGACATCCACGGCCAGTCCTGTGACAGCGAATAATCGAACATATATTTTACGAACACCATTAAATTCTACAGGTGGTGGTTCAACGGTTACCACCAACACCACCACCACCACCACCACTGGACGGCCAATTTTCATTTCAAATAATTTCAATACTACAACATCACCAATAATTCGTTCAGTAAATACGATTCAGCATTCGAATATTCGACATTCAATACCGATTATTGCGACAAATTGTCCGAAAAAAATATCCACAGCAACAACGGTAAATGCTATATTGACAACGAATACATTGAAAAATGTCATGACAACTACAACGGCGACAACTGTGACAACAACAGCTACAGTTACAGCTACAGCTACATCATCATCATCATCATCGTCATCAAGTCCAGTTTTATCGGCAATCAATGTAACAAATTCCAAAAATATTACTTGTTTACCATTAAAACTGAGTGATGGCCGTACACATTATCTTCCATTAAGTTCATTATCTACTGCTGCTGCTTCTGCTTCTGGTACTGGTACTGCTTCTGGTGGTGGTGTTGGTACCAATCAAACCGTACAAATTTCCTTAAATTCCAATAATCAAATTCGTTTTATTACGACTAAACCAATTATTAATGCCTCTAATTCTCCATCAGCAGTTGGTTTGAGATCGAATAATTCGACTATTGTCACTGGTGGTGGTGGTGATAATAATAATAATAATCAATCTCAATCTCAACCAAAAGCAATTTTTGTCGCTACAAGCGGTAATAATGCAATGTTGGCGCCGACAACCACTCCACTCAATACAATCGTATTGACCAATGCAAATAATCAAAAAGTTATTCTCCATTCAGCAGCCACATCGGCGGCCACCGCAACGCCAACAACATTGAATCAAATGGGCATTAAAACTATTCAAATTGGTGGTGGTAATAATCAATCAACGGCACGAATATTGACCAAAAGTCCAATTATAGTTCGTAATCCAAATGTTGTAACCACTGGACAGCAAACGGATCCGATTCCAGCATCGACATTATCGAAAGCTAATGTTATCAACAGTAATACGTCGTCGAGTAATTTACAGAATAAAGAATCGGAAGAAAAAGATTTTGTCGTCACTGCAGAAATGACACAAGATATCGTACGGAAAGCTTTGATGAATCCAAATGTAGCGCCAGAAATTGCACAAAAATTATTAGCATTACAAAAACATCATCAAGAACAAGCCGATTCGCCAAATTATCAACAACAATTTAATCAACAACATCAGCAACAATCATTACCAAATAAAAATGAGTATACTACGAGCAATCATCGAATCAGTCAACGATCATCATCATTATCAACAACAACAAGAAGTTCACGTTATTCACGTTCAAAATATGATAATGATGGTGATTATATTTATGAATATCCACAACCGGAACGACATAGTAGAACACCGCGTCCTGTACGTGATGAAAAAGAAGATACGGAAAGAATTTGTTCAAATGTTATCAAACAAATGATTGATAAAATAGAGAAAGAAATACGTTCCAATAAACATAAAGAAGTAATGGCTGAAAGAAAACATAAGAAAAATATGCAGATGAAAATCAAATTTCGTCAAAATCATATCGAAGTTATTCGTAGGAATATTTTACGTAGAAAATCCGTATTTAATCAACATATAAAATGTATGGTTGAACGTGAAATTGATGAAAAATTAAAACAAGCTCAACGAAAATTAGCAGCTGCTCATGCAAAATCATCTTTAGTAAAAACAGCATCATCATCATCATCAAACCAAACAGTGACAACTGTGAATCAGTCAAACAATGTCAAACTTACGATATCTGGTGTAAAACATAAACTTGATAGTAAAGATTTTGATTCCAACAACAAATCTAACAATAATTCATCATCAACCGAAACACCAGAATCTGAATCTCGATCAATCAAACGGCAACGTTTAGCTAATACTAGTGGCTCTAAATCATCATCATCACCATCATCATCGAGTAATGTTGATTCACAATCTACGGTGAATAATGTTGCTGCTGCAAAAAGCCCTCATCATCAGACGCAGAAAAAATCACCAAAAAGTAAAACGGCAACAAATTATTGTATCTGTAATCGTACGGATGATAAATCAATGATGATTGCTTGTGATGATTGTGGCCGTTGGTATCATATTAAATGTATCGGAATGGATAAACAAGAAGCTGATGATTTGGAACAATATTTTTGTTTAGATTGTAAAGATCGAAATCCAAAATTGAATGATGATCAAAGTAAAAAATCCAATTCATTATCAAACAATAATAGTAAATCAAGTCCACGATCAACGACGGTGACAACGACGCCGACAACGACGAATGTCAGAAAATCTGGTCCAGGACGTAAACCTAAACACCATCATCATCATAATCGTTCAACAGCTACTAACAACAATTCCAACGATAATCATAAGGTGGTTATTGAACATGAAGATGATGATAAAGAATATTGTTTTTGTAAAGAAAAATATGAAAGCGAAAAATTTTATATTTGCTGTGATCAATGTAATGATTGGTTTCATGGTCGCTGTGTTGGCGTCACCTGTATTCGTGCCGATCAAATTGACGAATATTTTTGTCCACGTTGTCAAGGTGAAGAATCAAGAAGCTATAGAAATATTCAACCACTTGTTGATGGTGATTTTCAACGGATGGAAAAAATAGTCAAAACTGTTAAGGTAGGGGATTTTTTTGTTTTGTTTAATTGATAAAAAAAATCAAACTAATCATCATCATTTTTTGTTTTCTAGTCACATCGAAGTTCATGGCCATTTTTGAAACCTGTTGATGGAAAACAAGTTCCCGATTATTATACGGTCATCAAAGAACCAATGGGTAAATAAATGAATAGATGCTGAATTTTGATTTTATTTATCTAATCTAAAAAAATTTCCACAGATCTTCAACAAATTTCCAATCGTATTAGTGGCCGTAATTATAAAAGATTCACAGAATTCATTTATGATATGCATAAAATATTCGATAATTGTCGATATTATAATGAACCAAGTTCACAATATTGTTTTTTCGCCAATACATTGGAAGAAGTTTTCGAACGAAAATTACGTGAATTAAAAGACTAAAAAAAATTGAATTCATGAAAATCGAAAAAGATAATTTGAAATCAATTTTATTAAATATTTAGAATAATTAATAGATATAATCGTTGTGTGGCAATCTGTGGATATATTATATTTTTTTTTAATTTTAATCTTGTGTAAAATGTAAACAAATATACAAATTGACAGATTTTATACATTTGAAACACACACACACATATCCACAAACACGTGAATAGATGATTTTTTTCAATACCACTTTAAAAAATACTTTCTTTTTGCTAAATAATAATATCGATCGATATTGATCATTTGAACACATAATAATTGAATGGTGATGTTCTATTATTACGTCATTTATTGACAGGAAAAAAAATTCAAATTTCGAACACAAATTTCATGTGTGTGACATTTACATTTTTTTTTTTAATTTTTTTTTATTTTGGAATGTAAAATGTCAAATTCAGATCGGTTCAAATTGATTATAAATGCTGATGATGACAACGACGGATATGATTTTATTGTGACCGAATTTTTTTTGTTGTGTATATGTTGTTGTCTGTGGCGTTATGCTGAGATTTGACAAGTTTGATTAAAATATTGTTTTCATTTTGAGAAACAAAAGCATTGATACATGGATCCTTTCGCAAATACTGTGTGTGTGTTTTATGTATTGAAAACATGTGATAATGAAAATAATTTGCATGGATTGATTCTGATTTTATTCAATCTGACCATCGATGGAATGATGAAGCCATATAAACGAACGAATGAATTGATTAAATCAGAAATTTGAAAACAGGTTACGTATGATGACAAATTTTTTTATGAAAATAAAGATTATATCGGGTATGATCTAGTTTTGTGTTTATCAATTCACAAACTTCAGGATTGTTGTTGTTGGTGGTGGTGAAAAAACAACAATCCCACTTTTTTTAGATGCAATAAAAATGATAATGATTTACAATCATCATCATGTTCTGGAACAATCTTCATTTGATTTTAATCATCAAATTGTGGTAATTATCCATCATCATCATGGACATCTTGAATTTTGTATATAAAAACAAAAATCGTTCAAAGATTTTTTTCCAAATGAACATTTTTTATGTTGATCCTGGAACAATTTTTTTCGATTTATCGACTTGAAAAAAATGATTAAATTTCTTGTAAGTTTTGTTTTGTCATTAATAATTTCGTTAATTTCCAATTTTTTTGTTGTTGTTGTTTTGGTTGATACAGATAATTCTTGGCACATTGGTATCGTCGATACGCTCAATACCTGGATACGGATATGGACGAATAATGTCACCACCACCATCATTTGGATTTGCAGCTGCTGCACCGATATATGCTGCACCACCACCAATGACGATATTAGCAGCAGCTCCACAATATATGACACAAGCTGCACCAATGATGACATATGCTTCGGCTGCACCAAGTTGTATGATGGCCGCACCTCCACCACCACCACCACCAGCGATGATTTTTGCTCCCGCTCCAGCACCAATCACACCAACAGCGACAACAATTTTGTTGGCATTCGCACCGCCGAAACCATATCGATTCAATACATTTAGAGGTGGACGATATGCATAATTAATTTGCGGTGGTTTTCATTTAATTCTTTTCATGATATCATCTTGTTGTTCTATTCATCCACAAACTGATTACATTTCCCATTTTTTTTTTTAATCGAAATATTTTGTCTTGTAAATTCCAAAAAAAAAAAAAATTTCAAAATAATAACTGTAAACGTAACGTCGTCTATTAACGGTGCCTGGTACCTGTACATAGAAAATTTTCTCAATTTGACAAAAAAAACAAACAAACAAACAAACAAAACACAAAAGTTCAATCAGGAATCGTATCGTGTGTGGTTGCATCATTTTTTTTGTTTTGTTTTTTGGTCGATTCTTCATTGAATCATTGATTCGTGTCGTTTTGTAAAATTACATCAAACAAATGTATGAATAAATCAACAGGCAAATTTTTTTTTTCGTTCAATTTCATTTTCAAAGATTTTGTTCCGAAATTTTCATATCCAATCCAAAGTGTTTGTGTTGGATAAATAAACTTACGGCAATCGGTTTGATTTGCTTTGTTATTTATGTTTCAATTTCATTTTTGTGTCTCTGTGTGTGTGTGTGAACTCAGATTGATTTATTATCCAAATTCGGAAAATTTAAGACATTTTGTTTTTGGTGCAAAAGTTTCTGTATTGATTATTTTCATTCAACTGCACTGGACAAATTCCATATTCAACGGTTACGGTCGAGGAATTCCTAAAGGTAGGTTGATTTTTTTTTCTATTTTCTTTTTCATTATTTTTAGTTGTTTTCGTAATTGAAAATCATCATCATCATCATCATTGTGTTTATTGTTGTTGATTGTCGATTACGCAAGCATTTCAGAAATTATTTCGTATCTTAACTCATAGATGGCAGTAATGTGTTTGTTTTCAAAAAATTTTTATTCATTTTCGATGATGATTGGCCTAGATTTTTGAAATTTTTTTTTTTTTTGCTATCATCACCATCATCATCTAATTTAGACATCATATATTGATGATGATTCAAAGAAAAAAAAACCTAATGTTCATCAATAAACCAAAATGATCGACAGTTGGCTCTTTTCCTCTCTTTTTTTTTTTGTTGTTGTTGATTGATTTCGATTGATTGTTTGCCAGAATCGGCGCCTTTTTCTCATCATCATCATCTATATATTGGTCATATATTATACACATACGATGGTCTGTCTGCATATGGCCATAATGGGCAAGCACAACATTTTAAATGGCTTTATTTTTTTTTCTTTTTTTCAGAATTTCTGATTATGTTGTTGTTGTTGTTGTCGAATTATAATAATGTATTGCCCTTTTTATATCGGCTATCCAAAATTCACTTTTTGATCAGTGTGTGTGTGTGTGTATGTGTGTTATCGTTGTGAATGAAGAATGCTGATGCCGAAAATAATAAAAAAAATGATGATGAAGAATGCGAGAAATAAAACCAAAAAGAAAAATCCAAACTACTAGTTCCAATTCCATTTGTGTGTTCCAAATAAAAAAAAATTGATCCAAGAAAAAAATGCTGGATACTACAACCTCTCATACAACAACTGCTGCTGCTGCTTCTGCTGCTTTTTTTGGTTATTGACAACGATTCAATGACTTTTGATCAAAAAAAAAAAATTTTTTTTTTAGATTCCATATAATTTATAGCTGTCATAATAATTTGGAATTTGCAATTTTCAATAGATCGAAATATGTTTATCGTGTTTTTTTTTCTCTTTTGGTTATCGGTTTGTCTTGGTGTGTGTGGTGTGTTTTATGCAAAAGTCTGGCAATTTTGTTTGTTGCTTTACGACAAACCGATGTTTGTGTGTGTGTGTGTTGGTGAAAAATTGAACTAAACTGAAACTAAGTGAAACATTCAGATTTTTATTTGTCATTTCCAAAATCTGATTTCATCATCCATTTTCATGGGTGATTTTTTTTCGTTCTGTTTTGTTTTGTTTTGTTCTGGCTCTGGTTTTTCCCGTTCTTTCTTTCGTTCTTTCGTAAATTTGCCGGCAAAATGAAATTTTTTTTTTCGTTGCCCAAGCGCATGAATGAAAAAAAACTGACTGAATGGCTGACTGACACACGTCATTATATTCTATCATCATCATCATCATCATCAGAATTTTCATTTCAAAAAAAAAATCCCCGGTTCTTCAATATTCTGGATGTACAGTAGTAGTACAACATCCTCGTCATCATGATCATGATGGGCGTCCAATGTTCTAAATTCTATTTGTTCTCTATTGTTTTTCTCTTTTTCTTAAAATAGTTTTGATTATTATATTCTGTATGTGTGTGTGATTCCCATCCTGAATCCAATTGTTTGATTCTTTCACATTTATTCGCTACTTGATTCTCTTTTTTCTATTAGTATATATTTCATTTAATTCTTTCAATGAGTTTTTTTCTGTTTTGTTTTGTTTTGTTTTTATTCTTGCGAATGGAAAGACCTCTTTTTTTTCTCTCCAAATTTTTTTGCAAGTTTTATCCAGTTAAATAAAGAAATTTCATTACTCTTCAGTTTGAAATGTGGCCTAGCAATGGATGGATCGAAAATTCTAGCTGTTATTTTCTCTCTCTCTCTCTCTGTCTGATGATATAATAATAGATGAAACTATTTTGATAATGATGTGTTGTTGTTCGGATTGTGGCTGATTTTGATGCTGCTACTTTTTCAATATATGCTGAAAGGGCTGCATTTTTTTTTTTTTTTTAACACAATAGCCACTTATATACATTTGATGATGATGATGATGATTTGGACAGAAAAAAAGTCAAAAACAGTAAAAATAGTCCTTAATAGTTTCAAAACAAAATCAATTGCATTTTCGTATGTTTTTGTTTGCTTATCACAATGTTGGTTTGTTTGTATATGCTACATTTGAATGAAAAATAGAAATCAAAATTTCATTTTGCCTTGAATCGATTAGATCAGTGATCTAGTCGTTTTTTTTCCGAAACAAAATTGTTTATGTGCCTTTTATATAGATTTTTTTTGGTCTGTTTTTCACTGTCCATTTGACTTTGCACCAATTATGAATGGGAACCGGAGATTTGTGAAAAATTTCTCTTTCGTTGCGCGATACGATTTTTTTTTCTCTCTCGTGTTCTATTAATTTGGTTATTCAATTGTTGTATGAACTTTTTTTTGGTTGACATTTACTATGCCTATCTGGCATATCTGGTTACTCTTTTCTTTTCTTCCGAGTGCGTGTGTCTCTGTATACGGAATTGGATTGTATTGGATTGGATTTTTTTTTGTTCCAATACTGGATCGAATCACCAAAATTGAATATAGTGGTCGCATTTGTTGGTGTGGTGAACCTGACATTTAACAAACAAACAAATAATGACGAAAATCAAAAAGAAAGGAATTTTTTTTTATTTCTGGTTTTGGTTTTGTTTTGATTTCATTTTCCTCTGGAAAAACAAAAAAACAACAAAAAAAATGGACCATAAAAAGATTACATGCAGGAATTTCTTTGAAATCAAAAAAAAAAAAAAAACAAGAAGCCACACCTTAAACCTGTATTGCATTAATTTCCAATCATATGGAATGGTCGTCGATTTGATTTTGATTTTTGTTTCTGTTTCATATAAAATGATTAGTATATTCTGTTTTTTGTTTACCTAAATCATTCGTTGTCAATTTTGTTTGTTACTCATGTTTGTTTGTTGTTTTGTGCGAAAAAAAAAATTTTTTTTAATCTTAGCTAATAACACTGTCATTCCATCAATTTGAATCAAAAGTTCCATATCAACTTTGGGCAGAATTATTTATCATTGTTGTTTGTCGTCATTTCACTGTTTGAATCTTTTTTTCTCTAGTTCACATTGCGGGAGGTCACAGTCAATTCATTTCAATTCGTCACATGTTTCCATTCTTCATTCTGATTAGTTGATTGATCAGTACAAAAATAATAAAGACATTTTCAATTGTCATTTCTTGTGTTGCTGTTGTTTCTTTGGTTTGTTATTGATTGAATTCCGAATCACAGATTCTAGTTGATTAAAGTTACAAGAATTTAATGATAACAATAATAATGGAAAGAAAATTGCAAATAAAATGTCAAAATGTGAATGATCGAATGTTGGATTCACTCTCTCTCTCTCTCTCTATCTCTATTAGTGCAAATGACAGAAAATCTCACATCAAATTGAGCTTGTAAATCTATGGTTGGTGATGTATAATTTTGTCACTTGTTTATTTACTGTTGTGTTTGCCTCTATCTCGAATTTCAGATTTCTCTCTGTTTATAGAATTTTTTTTTCTGATGGTTCGGGTTATATTTGGTTCATTTTGGTGCACACATATACCATAATAATAATGATGATGATGATGATGTTAAAGTAGATATTAATTTTATTCATTGGACAAATATGCCTCTTGTGTGTTTGTGTTTGTATTTGTATTTGTATTGGAGCCAATTCTTCATTTGACGATCAGGAAAAAAACAAGACATTGTATGAAAACGACGAAAAAAAAAATTCTGGAATTTCTGCGTACAATCAATAAATGGCGAAACGAAACGAATAAAAAAAAGGACAGAAATGAGCAATTCACATTGCATTTTGTGATTGTCTTTCGTTTCATTTATTTTATATTTGGTGTGTGTGTGTGTGTGTGTGTGAAAATAGATCTAGGAAATCAAATTAAATGCATTGAATAACCCGAAAGCAAAATGGTGGAAATAAAAACAACAAAAACAAAAACAAAACGAACGAAATCGAAATCTGGTGGCGATGGTGGCCATGATCATTTGATTTTATTTTCCACCATTTTTACTAAATAGAAACGGGCAATAGAATGGCTCATTTCTATTTGACCAAACCTACTGATTTTGACAAACGCGCACTGATGAAGCTAACAAAAAAAAATTGTATCGATTTCCCTAGATTAATTATAATGAAGTGATAAATTAATCTCTGCAGCTCAAACATTCAAGTTTTTTTTTGTCTCTCTTCGTCCTACTACTACTGTGTGTGTGTAATTTGATATGATGATGGTTCTTTTAAACTTTTTTTATTTGTCGTTGCCTTTGTTTCGTTTGATTTGGGGATAATTTAGATTTTTTCCAGTGTATTTTTAGAATCATTTCCTTTCATGGTGATGATTATGATGATGAAATCCGCACAACCAGAATGATCTAGTTTTTTGGATTTTAATTCTACGTTTACAAAATACACACAGGTGTTGGATTTTTTGTTGTTTTGTCAAATTTCCAACCATTATACAGTGCAGAAAAAAAATCCAATTTATTTGTCTATCACTTGATTCATATTCCATTGTGTTTTTTTTTTTTTGTCGATATTGTACTCTGGAAAAAAATCAATGAAATTGATTGATTTTTTTTTATTTATTTGGAATTTTCGATTCTGGAATTTGACTTTTTTTTCGGTTGTCAATTGTATCGAAACAATTAGAGAATCCAGTGTTGAAACCTGTGTGTAAAAATTGTGATTTTCGTATTCATGAATGATGAAAGCAAAATGAAAAATGAGAGGAATGAGAGATTTTTTTTGTATTCTTGACGCTTTTATATTTTATTGAAGCACTGACATTGAATTCTTATTCGATTCTTTCGATGATGATGATGATGATGAAAGGTAAAAGAGAGGATGGATGAAGAGGAAAAAAGAAAAACAAAGCTACTAAATTGACCACGTGATTTGAATTCATAATTAACCAGAAAATAATGTGTGTGCGTGTGTGTAGAAGAAGAGAGA